TAACTGTACCAAAAGTGTTTATGACAGAATATTATGATGTACTAAGTCTTATGTTGCCCATAGCAACACCGGTGACGTCATACAATGACGTCATGCATATTTAAGATATCCGCCATGTTGGATCATTAATCTTGAATTTTCAAAAATAGTTTTTTTCATGATAAAGCCTAAAATACATCGTAAACATACTAAAGACCTTCATTTAAACCTTTTTTTAAAAAAAGAAATGGAAGTATTGATGAAATTTTAATGAAAATAACCTGTATATACCTGTTCTAATGAAATGGTCCGCCATCTTGGATTTTGGCCAATGACGTCATCAAATTAGCATAAATTATGCATATTTAATGATAAAATTTACATAAAATTATATGGGATGTTATTAATATTAGAAACCATGAGTAACTTGACATAAAACCCATAAATTCTATTGTTGAAACAAAAAGTACTAAATTTAGCAAACAAGGAGAAGTCGTAGACATCATCCCTCCATGAAATAGCTTGTTATTTTGTAATCTTTTGGTGTATTTCAATAGAGATATTATGAGTCAAACTTTGTTTTTATCAGCAGAATGATTTGTGGTGGCACTTTGTATTTATCAAGCTGTCATGTGCAGGCGTTTAGTGTCTTGTTACCATGGTTTGTTTACTTTGATGGCCAGCAGGTCATTTGCCTTAGCCTGGGTACCATCCCCAGTAGTATATTCGCAAACTCTATAACTGTTATAGAGTTTGCGAATATGCTACTGGGGATGGTACCCAGGCTACATTTGCCTGTACATGTAGGTCAATGACCAGGTCAAATGACCTGCAGACCAGACAAACAAGATTTATTTTCCTGCATCTCTGTCTAGGGGTAAAAATAGATAGGGCTGCCTGGGTCTGACCTGCCAGCTGGAGGTATAAACAAAAACACTCTGTCCCAACTTTTGGGTCAAACAGACCATCCTATTATGAAGTAGGGGTGAAAAAGTGAAAATCCTTTTAAATTAAGCAATAAAAATATGCGACAACCTGCTAATGCACTCCAAAACACAAAGAGACTCAACAACTACCCACATACCAAAAATCATACCAAACCATCCCCCAGATTTTCCAAACATTCAACACAAAAAGTCCAACATTAAACATTTTGTAAATATCAAACGCAAACAGCTAGGGGACCCAAATTTAAACCACTAAACCATGGTAATAACAACTACATGCTACCTTAATATCGCACAAACAGTCCATAACGCGAAAACAACAGAATAAAAAAATTAAACTGCAGTACCAAGGTCAATCACCAGGGGCTCAAAGTCAACCTACACAATCTCCAAGGCCCCATCCATCAATCTGCCAAATATCGTACAGTTCCTTCTCACCGATCTTCAGATATCAGACCAAACATGAAACGGAGTAAAAACAGTACCCCCATTTTCATGGAGGGTAATAAAAAAGTAATTAAACAATAGAAGCTCTTAATATGTTCTCACATTTTCCGATATTCAAAATTACAGGATAAGTAATTCTAAACCTCTCTGAATAATAATTTCATCATGTTGGTAAATTACTGGATAGTATACTTTATTTTGTGTTTTTGTAACCTTCAAATGCACCCCATTTCCTGTGTCTGAGCTTTTGATCTTATGTTATTCCGTCAATCTACCACTACCACCCACATGCTGTCAACCTACTCTCAACTTTACCCCATTTCATGTGTCAGACCTCTTGACCTGTCATTCTGCATGTCAATCTTACTCTCTCCAAGTGCTGTCAACCGTGCTGTCAACCCACTCTCCAGTTTACCCCATTTCCTGTATTCTGCCCTTTCAACCTCTCATTTTGCCTGTCAATCTTCCCCACCCACATGCCGTCATGTACATGCTATGTGTGGTGTTCCAACAGTCTTTTATGCTAGACAAACCAAGAACTAACACTCTGATGAAGTGTTTTATGTACAGAGCTGTTAGTGTGTGGAATAACCTTTAAGAATAGTCTTTAAGAATGGTTGCACAAATACTTCTATCAGTAGCACACCAGCACTTGTTTGACAGGACTGTTTGTCTGTTTTTAAATAATTGTATATTGTAACTATGTTATAGATTTAGATGTTGTTTTGTGACTCTGTCAACTATGTATGTATATGTATACCAATGTATGTATACAATGTATGTATGTAAGAATGAATGCCAGGAAGACAGCGGTTATTCAAATAAAGTTTCAAGTTTCAAGTTTTGTTCCTTTGAGTGGGACTTACTTTTCTGTAGCATGGCAGCTTTACTAATCTTCACATTTCCCTGTGAACTGAGGGTGGGAATCAGTGTGTGCAGGGTGTCGAAGCCCACTTTGATGTTAAACCTTCTCTTCTGTTCTGCTGAGATGTGGATAGCTCTTCTCTGGTCCTAACAAGGGAAAAAACATTACATTCCATTAGATACAAGACTTAGTATAAAATTGTATGAAGCCAATGTACATAATTCATTTATGTTAGTTCAGAATACCACCTGCATACAATGTAGGATTTCTGATATCTACCAGCCTACACCTACATTGTAACCTGCACTGATCCATGTACTGGTCTTAATACACATGTAGATAAATGTACAATGTAGGTGTACTTTTTATTTGCTACATTTACTGTTACACACACTGTACCACCTACATTGTATGGAGTATAAGAAAAATAATGGCAATGGTTTCCAAACAGTTTTTAGTATGATCCATACTTTTACATACAGTTTTGAAGAATGTATATATATATATACAACACTTAAACTTGTATGTTGATACATACAATGTACATGCAGTTACGTTCATACATTCCTTACTTGACACTATAAGTCTTGTCTGGTGCAGGTGATTTTTAATGTTCCCTGCATAATTTCCAGCCCTGAATTGTTGTTGAACATAATGAGAAAAATGGAGTCTGTACATTGGTTTCATCCCATCTTTAAGTACCACTTTAGGCACATCCTCTGGAACACTGAGTAGTGCCAGCCTTAAGTGATGTACTAAAACCACACTAGTCCCAACCCTCCTTCCACTCGATAATTTTTCAAGTGAATCTCATGCAAGTCACCTTTTTGGCTAAGGCAAGGCCACACCAATTTAATTTCTTGATCGTTGGATTTCTGTATCAGTATAGCCAGTATAAACGCCCTTCAGCGTAACACACCAGCTTCGCAGGCACTTGGCGCGGCAGCAGCTAGCTATATCACACCGAATGACTTGTTACACTCAATCTTTGCACATGTAATTGCAGGAGTTGTTTAAAGCTTTCTAGTGATATGTCCCAACTGCGCTTGGTGGCAACGACTTCCAATCTACAATAGTTCTGGGGAAATACGAGTTTTTGAACACCTCGATTTTCACACTTCATTTTTTTCTGATATGAAAAATTTCTTTTGCCCATGGCCACCGATTCATTGATGAATATGAGAATAAACAAATCAAATTGGTGTTGCCTAAAGAAAAAAAAATGGTGCTACTTACCGAACCTCCCTTGTACTTCTCTTGAGAGCTTCTTAGCTTGGAGGGTGTCTTCCCTGGAGACTATAAGGAAAGAACAGCCTTTAATCATAAGGTAGGCATACATGCATCTGTATTCACTCCACTCCTCCTTTCATAGTTGTGTGTGAACAATAAATATGAAACTGCTCAGGACAACTACATGTACAATGTGTTTTGGCTGGGACCTGATGCTATGAATTTGCAAGTGTTTTAACACAAGTATACATGTATGTGATGATATCTGATGTAATGGCTAATGACCAATCCATATGTGAATAATGTACAATTGTATACAACTGAATCTGACAATTAGCCTAGAGCCTTTTTCCTTTTCATAATTATGTTTTAGAACTGATATTACTTGTGATACCAGTTCAGTCAAATTAACCCTCTACTTGCTGCTGTGGATTCAAAATCAACTAAACAGCTGTGAAATGATGAGAAAACATTTTCACTGAGAAGAGCCAAAAGCATGTAACCAGAACATAATACATTTCCCTTTGGACACAACTACATCCAAACTATAAATGTATAAGGGATATCATCCTACCATGTATATCATTATACACACATATATAATTATAATATATTGTATACAAGTATGCATATGCTCAAGTGATATGCTATTACATTCTGGGTACATGCTAGGCGCAAACTACTGACTCTTTTCTGGGGTAATGGGAGGGTCTCACATGATAATATGGTTGCCACATAAGCTTGTTCACAGTAGTAAGTGTGCATGCACAGTGTGGCACATTGTAAGTAACACATCAGGGCTCGAAATTTATTTTTGGGAATAGGTGCACTGGTGCACCCAACCTAAAAAATTAGGTGCAAAAATTCTTTTGGGTGCACTATATGAAACAAAATATAATTACTGCTCCTCTTCTGAGATTAAATCTAAAACTTCAAAATCTTAAACAAGTACTACAACAAATATTTTATTATTTTTCTGATACTTAGAGACCAAAAATATCTGGTATATTATTATACATTTCTAATGTTAAAATTCCTCAAAAAATATTTGGGTGCACCAGTGCACCCACAGAAAAATATTAGGTGCACAACTCCAATTTTGGGTACACTAAGGTGCACATGCACCCAATATTTCAAGCCCTGCACATCAAAGTCGAAGGCCTCTGTAAAATAAATTTAAAGTTCCCACAATCACACTGCACCTGCACACTTCAACCCGTGAACTAGCTTATTGTCACACAGTCCATGATTGTCAGGTGAAAAAACACAAAAGACAGTCTGGAGGGCTTACATGTGCGGGGGACCAGTCCATGCCATCTATAAGCACACCCCTCGTGGTGTATCTCTAGCAGGGGGGGGAGGGGAAGACATGTCAGGTACACCCAGACAAGCCAGGTGCCATGGAAACTGGGAAATTGACAGCCTTGCCAGTGCCTGGTTAATTCCCTTTTCAATAGACCAATCCTGACTGTCCATCACAATTGAAAGTTCAACCAATGGCAGCGTGGCAATTAGCAGTTTGACCAATGAGAGAGTAGCTGCATGTCCATCAAGGAAACATGGTAATGGGGGAGATTGAGCACAACATACTGCACCTGTGTGAAACCTGAAATGTATTGTGCATAGCACTTTGGCAGAATGCCTCATATCAGGTAGTTTTCACATATACAAGGTTATCATTCCGTCTGTAGTTTCCAAAATGTTACGTTGAAAAAGATATATATATTGTCTGCAACTGCCAAAATTCTTATGCAACAGTGACCAAATATCCAAAGAAATCCAGGGTTTCACGCAGGCGCAGTACATTCTGCGGACATGCTGGGGGATGGACATGTGGTCACTCAATGGTCAAAAATGGAGAGTCTGACCAGACTGCCTGGTTTATTGCAACAGACTGATCCTGACTGTCCATCACAATTTAATCAGCAGTTCGACCAATGATAGGGAGGTAATTAGCAGTTCGACCAATGATAGGGTGGTAATAAAAAGCTCGACCAATGAGAGGGCGGCTGCATCCAACAAGATTGCTGGTAAGTGGCAATGACAGATTTAGAACACTGCCATTCCAATAGTTAATGGTATATCTTTTTCAGAATGGCATGCAATGATGACAATGGATTTGTATTGTTTGAAAGGCCATCCACCTTTTTCACATTTCCCATAATGCACCACTGGGTGGATCATGGAGCCACTGATGGTGCATTATGGGAAGTTTGAAAAAGGTGAATACATATCCATCATTACTGGCAAGGCTACATGATGCAGATTCATGTCCACATTCCTACACAGTTGTACTATCCCATGTGTTTAAATTGCTTTGTCACAATGTGTTTTTAAACAACAGTCTTCAAATCTGGGCTTGGTGAGGGTTCCGAGCTTTTGATGACTGTAACTTTCATGTACATACATTTGTATGTCAAGGTTTGTTAAGATTTCTTCAGACAATAGAGCATTAAAAGAAAATTGCACTTAGGAGAGCCTTTGAGCCCTTGTTCAAACTTCAATGTTAAAAAACAGGAATCAATAAATTCAGTTTTTCAACTGACTTTTCCTCCTATAATTTTTATTACTGTTTTACAGCAATATATATTGTTTTGGATTTCATTTCAATACATTTTATCCTTCAGCCTCCTGAAGATAGCCATTTGGCACCACAATTTGTAACACAGGAGCTAGGAGAAACTTCAACAGACATGCACTACCACCACCAACACTACCACCAAAAATTATCCAAATTTGGTAATACCTCGTCTGAAAAATTCAGAGTGTTGGTAGGCTTGTATTCCTCCAGCTTTTTGACTATAATCCAAGGTGGTGCGCATGCCAGGGTCTGGTAAAAGAACCATACTTACATTTATACTTTTTATTGAACTTCATATCATAATAATATTATCCACATACATTGTAGTACATATCTACAAAATTTTTGGACATGTATCTGCAAGCTACATAAAGATTTGGAAATTTTCTAGCTTCCAACTAAGCAAAGAAAAGAAAAGAAAAATCATGTTATTATATATAATAACAGCAAGAGTTGAAGAATTGAGAGTTTTTTTTTTTCTGAACATAAATCATATGCAAAAAGCGTGCATTTGGTTACCACGAAAAGTTTTTGCCTGCAAAATCTATAGAGGAGTCTAGAAATGCTTTTTACTGAAACTTTGAAAGACAGGGTAAGTTTGCTGATTGAAGGGATAGCTACAACTGGGTAGAAAATGCAACAAAATCTGTACATAATAGCTGTATAAGCTACATTGTAGTTTACAGTTTGAAGTGTGCATGTGCAGTGTGATGCATTGTGGGTAAAAAGTTGACTAAGGCTCTCTCAAACTTGGAGATATTACCCACCATGCATCACAGTATACACATACCCACTTCAAACTGCCTGAGTGGCTTATTTCCAGAATTTATCTGCAAAACAGTGCTTGCCGCCAGTGCACATTGACATGGAAGCAACAGAGATTACATTAACAGTACTACTCCTATGACATAGACCAGGCCTAGGAAAAAAATTGCTGTGTTTCCTGTTTCAGTCCTGAAAAAATTAGAGTCGGTAGGTAGGGATTATCTTTTTTTTTTCTTTGTCCTAGACTTCAGTGACATCTATATGGTGATCCAACGTACACTTAAGTTTAGAAATAAAACCTGCACGAGGACACTTTTATTTTCAATGTCAATGGTAGAAAACCAATAATTATTGTACAATGTTTTATCATTCAGATGTCATACCATGAAGTTAGAAAAGGTCGATCAACTAGAAAAAATTATGTTCCATGCAGGGATCCATCCAAAAAAAAGGCTAGGGTCGGCAGGCTTTTCTAGGGTCGGTCGGCAAACAGGAAACAACATTTTTTTCCTAGGCCCCAAAAATTCTTTTTTTTTATCTCAATGACAGCAGCTGGCAACACTGGCTTTGGAACAGTAATGGACAGCACTTACCTCGGAGTTGTGTCCAGGGCTGTCCTCTGTAGTGATGGGGCTGGCAGCAGACGGGGAGTTTGGGGCTGAAACATCCAGACACAACCCTGACATCACTTCTACAATCAATAAACCTGTCTAGTACATGTTCGTGTAGTACCATTCTCACATGGTAGACACTGTTGCTACAGAAGAGCCACTCTGACATGTGTGAATGAGTAGTAAGTACTGCAAATTACATCCACAATCTATAAGACAGTCAAGTACATGTACCTTGAATTTTATACAAAGGCTTGAAATCTATTTCTGGGAATACATGTAGATGCACGTGTGCATCTAATCTGAAAATTTAGGTCCACAAATGCACGATTATGCCGAAAGTATGCATACTCTTCGAAATCTAACTGTACTATCAGTTTTATGAGCACATTCAAGTTTAGATGGGTAACATTTGTATCTGATTCATTAAATCATACAGCAGGTTGAAAGGCACTAGGTGGTCGTTACTTGCAATCAGAATCTAAATTGTAGCAAGTCAATGACTTTTGTGGATTTCTAAATTGACTTAGCCTCCGTAGCAGGCTTATAGAACTGGGGGTTTGGTGGTCTTCGGCTGTTTTCTGATTAAAAAAACGGGGGTAATTCAACCAGGCCGCTATGTTGTCTATATGCAATCAGAAAATAGCACATAAAAGCTCCCAAAGACCCTGAAGACACCCCAAACCCCCAGTTTTTGGCACGCTATGGAGGCTAACATTGACTATGGTCTTTTTCTGGAATAGTGACAGTTTAAGAATACTGATACTTACTGGATGCTGGCTTGATGGGAGTGCTACATGCCACTGGGGGTGACTTTCTCTCCACTTTCGTGGCGGTTGCCAGTCCGGGTAGCCCGACCTTACCGGCCTGTGCCGCCGCAGCTACCAGCACGCTGCTCTGGAAGTCTGTTACCCCGGCAACCTGGAAACAACGAGAGACCACGTCATGACAACTGTCCGTCAAGCTCACGTCCCTACTAATTTCATCTGTCACGCACATCTGGGCAGACCTCACCAGCCAAGGCTACTTAGTACAATGTACGTCAATCAGCAATGATAAAACAATTCCCATTGATTGTAATTTTGAGTTAGGCCAGGCCAATACTACAACTACATTGTACATTGTAATGTTTCATGGTCCCCTGTCTCTTGTTTGGTAATGAGGACCAGAACTATTTTGGTCTGAAATTTTGGTAAGCAATATTTTGCAGTACATGTGCAGTGTTAAAAAGCTTGAAGCATTGAATACAAAGTCATATTATCATGTATTCCCATGTTATAGATTTCACAAAATGCATTGAACAGTGAGTATTGAATTACATGTAAATGCTCCTATAATTGTACCTGCAATAAAGCATTTGTACCCAACAACAAGCTACATGACTACACTGTTTGGAATTCTGATACCGGTAATTCTTTTAGGTATTCTGTCAATTTTAGCTCCCTAGCCTCAGTTTTATAAATGAACATTAGCCATCGCATCAGTTATAACATCTGCAAGGTCTTTCATATCTTTTTTTTTCTGTGCTGATATTCTGCTAATGTTATGACAAGGCCATGCATTGACTTGCAGGGTAGTAACACTGTACTAACTTTCTCCTGGTAGGTGGCAGTTGTTGGTTGGGGAGACTATTCACAACAAGCATGATGACAACACAGGAAGAAGGGAACACAGACAAGAAGACAAGAAAGTTGGACACAGACATGAAGACAAGAAAATATGAAGGACAAAAGACAATGATAATATAATGAATTACAGTCTTCTCCACTACATAAAACTTCAAAATTTAAAAATAAACATTTACAGTGAAAACACATCATTTTGTCCTTTGTTAAATCATTTTCTGTGAGCATATCTGAGTTGTAAACAAACATCAAAAGTTGCCAAAGCCTGAGCGAAAGTAACATGAATGAGACAAATAAACAATGAAAAAGAGATACACACAGATTAAACAAAACAGACCTTGAGTTTTAAGGGAGGGCTCTTAATGTGGATAACCTTTGACTTAACAATGTCAATTGCCACATGCCCACACACGACACAATCATTCACAACTCGTCATGGTTTACATTGAAATCATGACCTAAATGTATCTAAGTCACCAATACAACTTGTATTCGTTGCTTTAAACATCACAGACACCAAAACATGAAGCCACATACATTGTAAAATACATTTATCCATGCTCAAGAGAATAAATTGGTAGTTAAAAGGCAGGACAAATGTAGGTGAAAAATCAAAACATTTAGAGTTTTAAACAAAATTCTACAATCACGGCCTCACCATATCAAAACTACAGTATTGGACACATCTAAAACTATTCTCAGAAAAACATAGTACACTGTACTACAAACCTTTCTTTTCCGATGAAAAAAGAAAAACAATGCCCCCATTTCGTGCTGTGTAACAGACATGTCTTGCCGAGGAAGTCTTCTAAATGATTAAGGTGACCTTTTGGTGACATATGCGGCCCAGCGTACACAAATGTACGTCATAATTACACACTACGTCAGGACTTAAAACACAATAATGAACTGGGAGGGCAACTTTTAGATAAGAGTAAAGCTCACTGCACAATGTACCGTGGCAGGTATCTTACAAAATGTATATACTTTATAGGGAGCTGTTTTCTTTTGGTGAATTTTAACCATAAAAAGGAATATCATGTATAGTTTGTAAACAAGAATTACGTCACAATAATTACAATCGGCCTTTGGGTTATAACTTTTGTCCTACTTTGTGATTTTACCATTTCCTTAACTCCCCAATTCTTCTTCTATTATAATTCATAAATTTGATGGCGAGAAAAACATAAAGACAGTGTACAGTAGTCTATTAGAACTGTTCATTCTTTTCAACCTATTTTTCTTTCGGCTATTCCGAGATCAGGGTGCGCCAAAGGGTTGCACTTGGGCCAATTTTTCAAGTTTTATATTTTTCTACTTTCAGTGCAGAAAGTCACACTAGAGGTGTTGCCATACATTGCACTTTTTAAATTTTTGGATAGAGACGTTTAGTTCAAAAGTTGTGCTCTATCCAAACTTAGCCCACTCATTTCAGATGTGGCCGGCAACGGACACTACGGCTAAGTACATGACAAGAACACCAAATCTTGCAAGACCTGTCATTTAGGGGTTGACAAAATGCTACAGAAATAACATAAATGACAAAATTACTTCAAAGTTGCAACAAAACGTAATTAATGTACCTAATATGGTATACTTGGCAACGGACACTACATGGCAACGGACACTACACCCTTGAGGTTTTTTGACATTATTTCAAATAATTACAGCAATAGACTGAAATAGCTACTGTGTTTTAAGTCAGCATCTTCAGCTGTTTCAAAACCTGAAATCATATGCACCCGCAGCTTTTCTATTTCAAGTTATTACCGAGCAACGGACACTACACATTTTCTCGGACAAAAAAGACAGGTAACTGTAAGCCATCAGCCATATTAACCAAAGGACAAGACAACATAAAAACACATGTTTTGTGTCATATATGGATGTACCTTGCATAACATGCAAAATGGCCAATTCTATCACTATCCTTTTTAGTACAGGGAGATAAGTTAATTGCAATGTGTTAATTTATGAATTTTACATAACGTGTACAACATATTGATAAATGCGCTCTAGAAAAGAGAAATTTCCAATCATCATCAGGTTTTTTGCAAAACATATCAGACTGAGCATGTCTGAACATATTGCAAATCTTTTCATTCCATTTTTTTGTTCCCAAATTACTTAAAAGCATATTTCAAAAACTGGCATTTTTCAAGTGCAACAGCATAACGTAGATTTTATGCCAATTTCTGGTCTTAAATTGGCCATAGCATAAGTTTTAAACATCTTAACACCAAATCTCTTCCTGATTGTCTGGAAAATAACTGTACTAGTATAACAAGTTTGATAAATGTCAACAGAATGCGATAAATACAGAGTAAGATTGACATAACGATGCACGATGCCATTGGCGCACCCTGATCTCGGAATAGCCGTTTGCACAATTGGTTCATTGTCTGAACAGACTAAAGTATGGTGAAAGGTAAGGAACCTTATTTGCCCCAGAAACCAGAACATCTGCTTGTACATGTTGTAGCCTTGAGGCTATATACACATGTACACTACTACTGAGAAAGTATAGAGTAAACAGAGTTGGGTTGGTGGCAACAAGGCAATTTTGTGTTCAGGATTGTTGACTCAGAATCTGAAGGTTCTGGGTTCGAATCCTTAGCACTCCTCAATGTTATGCCATTGAGAAGTGTACTAATGACACTTATTTCCTTGCTTGACTCAGGTAAAAATGAGTACTTATAGCTTTGTTTTCTCAGATAGGACCTAAAGCTGAGGTCCCATGTTTGAGGAGAGCCACACCTCGAGCACATTAAAGATCCCACCACACTTATCAAAAAGAGTAGGGGTCTTTCATAGTGTGAGTGGACCAAATCTTCCCTACTACCAGTGTCATCTCTATTTAAGGTTGACATCCACAGCTACATGTATTGCACTTAACCTTTAAAAACGTATAACAACAAGCACAGCTTTATATCCAAAACAGTATACCAGGTCAGTACTGTAGATGTACACGTGTATATACAATATGTACAATGTATATGGTTGACTGCCTAATTGTTCTAACAATGTACTGTAAACAGTGTAATAATTATTATGTACTTACCAACTCTGCATGCAGAAGCCTTCTATTACCAGTTTTACCAGCTAAGAACTCAGATTCTGACTTAGATGGCACATGGCCCATTCCCAACTGTCTTAGAGATAGACTTGGATGGTTGAACAATGAGAAAACTTGGGGCAGAAGTAAGATGACCCAAAAAAATGACACAGCAATGAAGTAAAAGTGATGACTACTAGCATCTTCACCCCTCTGTGACCCTTTCTGCCTCATTTATTATGCTAATGAGATGAGGTGTGATGCGATTGGTTCATTCCTGACCAATCAGAGGGCCTAAAGCCAAGGAATCTAATCTGTGATGAGGGACAATAGAATACCTGAAGTAAAAATAAAAAAAAAGTCTGGCCCAAATAATTGCATTCTTGTGGTCCTGTGTTAGAAGAAGGCCAAACCTTGAGCATGTTAAAGATCTTACTGTACAATGGTCATGGGACTAGGTAGGTAGGTAGGTAGTACTATAAAGATCTTACTGCACTTACCAAATCAAAAAGAGTCCTTCCTAATGAGTGTTTCAAACTTTACAGTCTGGTCTTACAAATCTTGTACCTACATGTAGTACAAAACTGGTGTGCTGTGCCCAAAAGGCAGTTATGCATGACAAACAAGTTACTAGGGGGACCAAACCCACACCACTTGTTTCGGAGTCAAACATGTATTGTAAAGCTATCTGCAACAACAAAAAATTACAACTATAAAGTGTCTTTTAACTTGAAACTTTTAACAAAAGATACAAAAGCCCTGAAGTTCTGCTGCAGTATCAAAATTCAAAGTCAGCCAGCAGGAGGCCAACATTTGATCTTCACCTTTGTCATTCAAAATCCATAAAGGTCTTCTTTTACGCTGACCATGTGGAAACACAGACCTACAGACAGACAGATACTGTAATTCCTGAATTTTTCACTGTACTGTTATGTTGTGAACTTCACTGTTTTCACGGTACAGAAGTGACAGTTACAGTTAACAAATAATTCCTGGACTTTCTTTGTCCTGCTCCTGTTGCCACCGTAAATATATAGTTCCGTGAACATGTCGATTTTTCTCAGACCATGAACTTTTGCTACCATGAACATAAACTGAATTACAGTGTACAGAGACCCTAAAAATAATACATGTACCACTTTTTTTTATGCAGGTAACAAGCTGCTAGGGGGATCAAACCCACACCACTTACTACTGGCAGGAAAAGCTATCCACCACTCAAAAATCAAGATCATACTAGCATGTCCAGGACAAAAGATACAAAAACCGGAAGTTCTGCTGCAGTACCAAGGTCAGCCACCAGGAGGCCCAAAATTGATCATGACCTTTGCCTACCCAACACCTACCCACATACCAAATATCATTACAATCCATCCAAAGGTTCAAGAATTATGCTGGCTACAAATGTGCAGAAACACAAACACACAGACAGACACACACACAGACACACCAAAACAATACCTCCATTTTTCATGAAGGTAACAAACAAACAAACCTACCTGTGCGAGTTGTGAGGGGTTTGCAGCCAGGACGAAGCCCTGTGTTGTGGAGGGAGTGACCACAGTGTTGAGTAGAGAAGTGTCGGGTTTGATGGCGGACGAGGTAAGGTACACTTGGTTGGACATGGTGGAAGTCCCGGCTGATGTACATGGCTGGATACCCTGGGTGGTAAACGCTCCTGCGGAAAAAAAGATAGGAAGTTAATGATGTACAAAATGACTAATAAACTGCTGGACGTCCCAACTACTAAGTACCTAATACCAGCCCAGAAGAGAACAAGAAATAGCCATGCATTCAAGTACCAGAGTTATCAACCAAGTATTGAGGTGTTCAAGAATTCATTCTTTCCTAGAACTATCGCAGAGTGGGACTCGCTATCACCAAGTACAGTACGGGCATTGTTATTAGATAGCTTTAAACAATGTCTAGAGTTAGCTATTCAAGGGTTAGGTGTAACAAGTCGATCGGTGTAATGTACCCAGCTGCCGCCGCGCCGCGTGCCTGCGAAGCTGGTGTGTTATGCCAAAGGGCGGTTATACCGGCTATACAGATACAGAAGTTAGCTCAAAGGTCCCATAAAAGGATATCACCTTTCCTGTCTTCTCATTGTGTTCCTAAGTAAATAAATCATATCAAACTTAAATCAAAGTTCTATTCAAATCAAACTACTAACAGGAAGTTACATGTAGCTCAAAGGTCCCAGAAAAGGATATTTCATTTCCTGTCTTCCAATTTTTGCTAAATTCAAGGATTATGTGAGGCACTGGAAAAATATACAAAATCAGCAAGAAAGTCACAATTAAAATTCATACAAAATCTACAAAAACTCTAAATATTTCAGATATGAAATCATTGAGTGCTCGTTTAAAAAAATCAATTCTACTTACTACATGTATTAGGAAGTGAGTAAAACATTGCCCTGGCTAAAGAGTTTTTTTTGTCTATGAATTATGCCTACTGTGAACCTGACAGAGATGACTGACTCATCACACAAGCCACTAACTTAATTTTGATCGAATTAAGGAATTCGAATAGGTTCGTTCCATTTAGCACAGGGACAAAAGGGTGATCACAGAACAACAGCCAACGGACTGGTGCCACCTTGGCCACGCTAATTTAGTAACATTAGAAATCAATTAACCATTGCCAGGGGGTGGCTTTACCACACTGTGTACTTAGCAACATCTGTGTGGTGTCACCTTACATAACAGTGGAAAAATTGATTATGACCTCACCAGGTGCTATTGATATTTTCCAGATAGCTTATATGTAGGAAATTATGGTTTGGTTTAACCTTAGGCCACACCAATTTAATTTGTTGGTTCTTAGATTTTTTCAGAAAAAATATTTCGAAACATGGGCAGATAAAAAAAAGCAAATCGGATGGTACCCAGGCTGTTCTTTACTGTAAATCATGAAATGTTAGCAGTAGTTGTATAGTGATCCTTTTTATTATTGAAAAATGATAAAAATGGAGTTTTTTACAGAGTTTGTAACCACGAAGTCCCCAAAATAAGACTTAAATTGCAAATATCTCCACAATACAACATCCGATTTACTTCAAACAAAAACCAACCAGTTTAGTGAGCTCTTTCTGTTAAACTACACTGTAAATGGCTAACAACAAAACAAAATGTTCATCCAGTACCCCTACTCTTTGCATAAAGTTAGAAATTATACAAAATCAAATAGTTTTACCTGGTACAGCAACATGTACATAAGGTGGTTCAAAATGGATATTAGCTGCAAAAGCTGTGCTAAAATTCATGGCTGTCTTGGTGACAAAAAGACCTCAGTCTACACTTTCAAGTGTTACAATGTACACATTTACCAGTTACCTTGACATGAACTTGTACAGTGTAACTTCCTGGCTGTCAATGGCAAACATATCTACCATTTTTGTGACAACTTCAACGGATGGTTCAGTAGAACCAGATGGTACGTGTTGGTAAAATCCTTGACTTGCTCTTGAACCCTTCACATATTCAAGGTTCAATCTAACAACGTCTTGTATGTACACTGAGTACCATTATAAGGCCACACCAATTCAATTTGTTGTTTCTCTGATTTTTTTCCAGAAAAAATATGAAGCAACAGGGCGAAATAAAAAAAAGGGCCACAGCACCCCATGTTAGCCGGAAATTTTACAATATGAGCCATGAAGTGAACATACCAGACTGGTTTATAGTTAAAACAATAGATTGTGAACTTTTAATGAAACGAAGTTGCATTATTACATTGAAAAACTTTAACAACTAGGAAGAAAAGGACAGTCTTCAACCGTTGGGGCCAAAATATGCCTTTCATTGAGCATTTTGCAGTTGATTCAGAACCTAAAAATCTTTTTCTTTTTTGCAAATCAGAAAAAAATGGACAGGGCGAATCCGAGAACCAACAAAGTAAATTGGTGTGGCCTAGGATCAACTCATAAATCTTAAATGGCCACAAGACGACTATGACCACAAAATCTCAAGTACTTTTTGTGTTCGTATATTTTTTCTTGTCACACTGTTTACATACACTGCAAGTACTGCAAATCATTACACTATTTCAGTGGTTTTATTTCGAGGGAACAGAGGTTTTCATGGTCATTTTAACTTTGCAGGTAAAACAATTCTGTAGTGCAGTTAAGTCATACAAGAAAGACATATTTTCAGTGTCATGATGAGAAAATGTTTCATGATTTACAGTATATTTTTTCTGTACTCTTGACACATACAGATTTAAAACCAGTTTCACAGTTATTTTAGTGTGGAGAAAGAAAAGATGGTTCCAGCCCATTCAACAGTATTTGTATAAGAAGTTAGTATAACCTATCTTTACTAAGACGGTTCGGTACTGGAAGGATTAACTGCTCTAGTACCGAGGGCCATATTTGCTCAACCGGCTACACTTCAATACAACTAAGACCACAATGGAGGAATTTCTATTCATGCAATGTTTATTTATTCCTTAGACGGTGGCACATAGTGACTAGCACAATACAGTTGAAGGCAGAATTTTGTCATTTTTCTTCCTCATACGAAAGACTCAAAATCATTATTATGATTACTAAAATTAGCACAGCCTGTATGTTTAAATCCTATCATGGCTCAGATATTACAAAATCAGCAAATGTGAAGTTACAAATTCACAAGGAATCTTGGGATTTTTCAAAACATTTCCAAGCACTCAGTTAAGATTTTACATATATTATTACGACTAATACTAGAAGGCAAATTACATGACAGTAAGCTTAACACACATTTACATGCACAGGTCTAAATGCAAATCTAGAGGACAAATCTACCCTGTAAATGCGTTTGACCTTCCACACACAGAGCAAGGTGATCGGGACGTAATCACAACGTTGTTACATTTCATCTGGAAAATGCACACTTGATCTAAACCCCTGCTAACCACGACTCACCTGTGAGCCCCACTGAATTTTTCTGCAGAACGTCCAAGCCTTTGATGGCATAGCAGAGTTCGCTAACGTCCCTGGCCATGGCCAACATTATTTCCCTGTCCGTGCGGTGCGTTTAAAAGCCGGGTTCTGAGTAGTGACAGCCCTTCCGTGCAGTCGTGCCTCCCGGCAAAACAATGGCCACAAAAGGGAATGGGGACCATCTCATCACACTAACTCTTACTCAAAACAAGATCATTTTTTTACAATAAATCTTACTCAAAACAAGATTAGTTCTTCACTACACTAAAATAGTTCAGAGACTCAATTTTCAAAGGCTAACTAGCTACTGTGGAGATTTCATTTTGAACTTTGTAAAAGATTGTTTTTTGGATGGATTGTGATGATATTTTAGACTGTGGGTAGGTCAAGTTCTTTCCCAAAATAAACATGTACTTTCAATGCAAATGATCCATAAATAATTACAAAGGTCAGTTGCATTGCTCAGGGTTACCCTAAGCAAAGGTCATCACAACAAAACATCACAAAGTTTTGAGATGATCCCTATTCATCCCCTGTCCATGTGCTCTAGGCATGGGGGATAACAATACTGCACGTCACTCCCATTTTTCTTCACGTGAATGGCCAAAGACAAAACAAAAGTCTGAACTAATCTTGCTACACACCTCCCCTTAGGCAAACATCATTAACATATGTACACACTGTTTCGCAACATTAGACACAGAGCGTTGAACAGGTAGCCATTTTTATAATCACAGATAGCAGGGCTCGAAATTCATTTTTGGGAATAGGTGCATTGGTGCACCCAACCTAAAAAATTAGGCGCACAAAAAATTTTGGGGGTGCACCAAATAAAACAAAACCTAATTACAGGTCTTACTGCTCCTCTTCTGAGCTTGAATCTGAAATGGGAGCTAACTCCAATCTCAAACAAGTACTTCAACAAAGATTTTATTATTTTCTGACACTTAGACGCCAACAATATCCTGCATACTATTATACAGTTGATATGTACAAATTAAATAAATAAATATTTGGGTGCACCGGTGCACCCACAGAAAAAAATTGGGTGCACAGTTCCAATTTTGGGTGCACTAAGGTGCACATGCACCCAGTACATGTATTTTGAGCCCTGCAATTTGACCTGCGATATTGTAACACGTACGCCATTTCGGGCTCACGGAATTTAGACGTCATTGTAAATTATTCATGTCAGTTTTATTTTTTTGTGCAAGCTTTATTAAATTTTAAGGTGAAGGTTTTGTGAAATGTAGGTACTGTGGGTTTCTGTAACAAACTTGGTGGCTGGGAAACAAGCTTTTGTTAATTATTAAACAGGATTTTGTTCATTAGCAAACAGGACTCATTAGCTTGAAGTGTCACGTTGCATGTTCTAGCTTCTGTGCTACTGTAAATCAATTTATTTTCACAGGGGTTTAATTTTAATGCAGGAGTGGAAAAGGATGTTTCGTACAAATAAAACTGTTAACAGTACTGTAGAAAAAAAAACACATTTAATTTTTGCTGTGTCACGATTTCGCGGTAGTCATTCTACTATTTCTAGACTTTTTGTGTCGCGATGTCCATTTTTACCATGCTACATGTATATCCAGCTACATGAATAATACATAAAATGATACGAATACATACAATACACCTAGAATATTCAGTTAAGCTACATTGTACATGTATGCTGCTTCCAAAATGTGAGTTTTTGAATGACATGAATCAAAGATCTCGTAAAAGATTTAGGACTTTTCAATTTGTAAATTTTCATAATTGCGAATTTCTTGCTGCATTTTCCTAAACAAGACAAGAAACGAATCTTTTCTGGAACCTTTGACCTAACTTCCTGTGAGTTAGATTAAGGAAACACAAGCAAACATACAGACAGAATGAGATTTGACTCTTGTGCCAAAATGTACAACTGTTACAGTACTAGACTAAGCCTTTTCCTTAAGCCCCCCCTCCCCCCAAAAAAACCATGAAAATCTACATATATTTACATGCTGCTGAATAATCCTGCATTCTGACAATCCAGTGGGGGGCAAACAAAAAACAATCATCCCATTAATGACAGTAATCAGAGAGTTAATCTCCTCAAATTATAATCCTCTTCCACAGCTTATCACAGTAAATCCTACTGTAATTCCTTGTACTGTAGGGAATCTGTAAGTGGTGAGTACCACCTCCGTACGGAATCCTACGGATTTCGGAGCATGCAGACACGCCGTAGAACTTTAAGTGCATGTAAAACTTTTTCTGCATTTGGTCTGTGGATTCACCACCGGTGCGTGTGAGTACGGGCGACGCGCGTGCCCCGTACGTACCGTACATAAGAAGTACGTGTGAGTATGGCTTCCTTACGGTAAAGTTGCAATTGCACAGAGATTGTACGTTATAAGCACGTACAAATGCAACTCACTTACCACTTGCGCCACGAACAATGCACGCAACCGGTCACGACCAGACGTGGCGTGCAGACGACACTCTTACACCTTGCGCAACCATGCGAAGGACGTGCGTAGACGCCACTCCTTCCCCACGTTTTCAGAAAACGTAGCAAACGTGGCTCCCAATAAAATGTACACTGTCAGACAAAAAGCATGCACGGCGGGTTGTGACTGAGGCTTAAAGGTTAAAGAAATCTGAAGTGATGTTCTTACCTGAACCCCCAGTTAGAAGCTGTGCCAGGAAAGTGTTCTGTACGGACACGGTGTGGGTCTTGTCCCCGGACCCCCCCACCCCCTGGGGAGACCCCACGCTGGCGGTGAGGATGGTGGCCGTCTGGGACGCCGTGGTGCTGGGCTTGGGGGCGATGGGACTCAGTCCTTTGGGCTTGATGAACTGGACTGTGGACACAATGGACAAGACTGTTAAACAATGCAATTCTGATACTATATATTATTATTAGTACAAATCTTAAAACCTTGATTTTGCAGTCTTCCATAACACAGTGAATTTGCATTTTCAATACTAAAGAATTGTTTCAACCAAGAACTTAAAACTCTGGAAAAAATCAATGCTAAAGTAAATTAATTCACAGTAGAATTTACTGAGATCTTCAGTAGTGGACAAATCTGAGAAAAACTGCAGACCATTTTGCCTTTCAACAACTGTCACTTTTCTAGCAGCACAAATTTCCAAGTAAATGTTTTACTTTGCTCATCGATACCTGGGTACAAGCAAGTCAAGACATAGTTGATTGCAAACTGAAAGTTATAGATTCTTCTTTTTTTGGAAGTGGACACACCATTTACTTAGTCTGACAATCTTCCCCACCCACGTGCTGTCAACCTACTCTGTGCAGACGGATACTAGTACACAAAACCACAGCTCAGCCACTCAAAACAAGGCAGCCAAAACAATTAGTACATCTCAGAGCTCCTTACCTGTATTACTATTCACGCCTTGCTGCAGTGAATTCTGGGTGAATGCCACCTGCATGGCATTCTGGGTGGTGAACCCCAGCGCCCCCTGTTGGATGGTGGCAGATGGTGCAGGCTTGGGTGCCAGGGGATACTGTTTGGGCGTGGTCCTACTCCTGGTGGGAGCAGGCTGCTGTTGTTGTTGTTGTTGCTGGTGTTGTTGTTGTTGTTGATCGTCTGTTTCCATGAACGTGCTTGCCGGTAGCGTGCTGACAGTGGTAAACCCGGCGTAGTTCCCCTGGGAGACTATCTGCTGTTGTTGTTGTTGTTGGAGGGCAGGCATCGGCTGTAAGCAAAGTGGTTTTGTGGTTAGGGATTTAGAATCTGAAGGTTCTGGGTTCGAGTCCCTAGCATGCCCCAATGTTGTGCCCTTGGGAAAGGCGCTTTACACCTATTTCTTCACTTGTATCAGGTGAAAATTTAAATGAGTACCTTGCTTTAGCTAGGGATATCCTTTTGGATAGGACATAAACCTAGAAGTCACATGTTTCAGTATACTTGTATCAAAGAACCTACCACATATACGGAAAAGAGCCGAGGTCCTTCCCAGCGTGAATTGATCAAACCTTACAGTCTGGTCTTACGCAGCTTGTACTTACTGTACAAAACAGCTAAAGGCAGTTTACCAATTAGAGTCAAATTTGTACAAGTGACCATCTCACCTGGCCAATTTGACATTTTTGGTGGTCCCTGTATCAGTATAGCCGGCATAACCGCCCTTCGGCGTAACACATCAGCTTTGCAGGCAGCTAGCTATATCACACCGAACGACTAATCTTGTTACACTCAATCTTTGCACATTTAATTGCAGGAGTTGTTTAAAGCTTTCTAGTGATGATGCCTCAACTGTGCTTGGTGGCAATGAGTTCCAGTCTACGATAGTTAGGAAATACGGGTTCTTTAAAACCTCAATTCTTGGTTGATAACTCTAAGGCATGACTGTATGTGAAACAAACCAACATGAGCCTACCTGTATAGTCTGTGTCTTCTGCTGTTGCTGTTGTGGGAAGCCGAACGGTGCCACGTTGGGCTGTGGAGATGACGTGGGTGTCTGGAAGGCCGTCTGTGTACTGGGCATGACGGGGATGTTAGGCTGGGCCTGGTACATGGGCAGCATGGTGGGGGGCTGCTGGTGGGCCGTGGACGAGGGTGTGATGGGGGTGGGGGCAGCGATGACCTGGCTCACCTGTAATAAATTTTTTTTTTTAATTTCTTGTTATATTTGTTATTTTGTTATGAAGATTTACCACATTTGTGGAAGGATTGACGTAACAGGTGAATATCACCTCTTCAAGATGTCAAACCTGAGACCAGGCTGTAAGGTTTGAACCACTCACACCAGGAAGGTCCTCTGCTCTTTTTGATAAGTGTGGTGGGTTCTTTAACATGCGTGGGGTGTGGCTCTCCCAAACACAGTCGGTAGCACGTTCCGCTCATACCCAAGAGGTCCCGGGTTCGAATCCTGCCCATGTCAACGATCTTGTACCCTTGGGAAAGGCACTTAACACGACTTTCCTCACTTCACTCAGGTGAAAATGTGTACCTAGCTTCGGTTAGGGACGTCCCTCGGATAGGCCGTTAAATGAAGGTCCCATGTTTGGGGAGAGCCACACCCCACGCACATTAAAGAACCACGCTCATTAAAGAACCTTACAGTCCGGTCTTACGCAGCTTGTACACGTACGTACATGTACAGAACTGTTGTGTTACGCCTAAAGGTGGTTTACCGGTTATGCGAACAAACAAACAAACCTGCTGGGTAGAAGTGGACATGGATGCAGGCTGGCTGCTGTGGATGTGTGGAGGCTGTGTGGGCCTGGTGTTCTGGGCCAGCACAGAAATGGCATCCTCTAAAGATGTCTGGAAAAATGACAAGGTTAGTGAAGACTTCTTTGGACAGGATCCTAAGACACAATTATCAATGCTGCTAGTTTACAGTTCCAAGTGCACTTGTGTTGTGCAATTAGTGGTGCATACCTAAACCCACATTTAGGTCCAGGTCCGGATTCAAGTCCAGAGGTTTAGGTTCAGGTCCGGACTTGTAAGTCCGGACCTAAACCCATGGCATATACAAAATTGCATGTTGGCAACCTTGCAATGTTGTCTGGGTGAAACTTTGGCCACATAACATGGAGGTTGGTACTTGACGATGCCCAATGGCAATGTTTTCTTCATTTTGCAGCAAAGATTTTACAATCTACGGAAGGTTTTAGGTGGTTTGAAAAGAAAAGGGGTATGTGAAATGGTCTTTTATGGTAATAAGGCCGGACTCGGTTCTTGACTTTTAGGTTTTTTTGGACTTGAACCTAAACATTCTTACAAGTCCGGATCCAAGTCCAGTGAACCGGTATGCACCACTATGTGCAATGCATTTTGGTCTGAGGTGAAGTTTAAGGGCATTGGCAAGTAGTGTTAAGACAAAGAATAGCCTTTGACTTGGAATGCTGCACATATGTTAACTGTCAACTGTCTTATTGTGAGAAGGGATTTCTTTGAACTGATTTAATCCTGTTTACCTGGTTAGTGTCCATTTGTATAGGTGAGGACTCCTGGTAGGACATCCCTGCCTGTGACCTGCCCTGGTACTGCATGGTGTCGGCAGACATCTGGTTCTGGAACGGTGGGGAGCTGACTGTGGCGCTGGCTGATGGCCGCTCTTCAGGTGGCACCACCTGGAACCATACAACACTAGGCATCAGCACCACCTAGCAGATTGGTACCAAACTGCAGCCATAGTTTACATAGAAATGTACATGTACCACTTCAGTTTAACAAGTGTGTTGAAGTGGTCCATGTACATGTGTGTTTCTGTCATGTTGTAAAAGCTTACAGCGCCTTAACCATTAGCATGCTGTGGGCCACCTCAGCAATCATGATATGAGTATAAAAGCCTAAGCATTGTATTTCAGAGGTTTGGTTTACAGTCTGTATGTATTTTAAAGACTGAAGCTACTTTGCTGCCAAAAATTACTGGGGCCAAAGCTACCTCAGCATGCTAAAGGTTAAAGAGTTGACAAGACTGTTGACACCCCCTTTTGTGATTGTAAATGGAACTTCCCTTAAAAACACTTACATGTATAGTGAGCATGTCAGCAGAACGTACTGCACCTGCGCAAAACTTGTAACACATACAAATGTACTCTGCATACATGTAGCACTTTGGCAGAATGTCTTGTTTAAGGTTGTACTTGAACAAAGGATAACATCCTGGCTATAGTTTTCAAATGTTGTGTTGCAAAATATATCATCTATAACGGGCAAAATTCTGAAGCAACATTGACCAAACATTAAATTAAAATTAAACCATAAAAAATCTGGGTTAAACGCAGGTGCAGTACGTTCTGCCAACATGCTCTTTCAGAGCATACTAGCATGGAAGTAAGCATACATTTGTAAATGTGACAAAACCTTGTATCATTTAACAGAGTATTGCACAGAAAAAAAGCTGTAAGCCCTGCCCAGCTGTGGCGTGGAACAGTTTTGCGGAGAGCTGTTTTTTGGGGCCTTTGTGCCATGTGTGCGTTGGAACTGGGATACTTACATGGGGGGGACCAAAACCCATCGCTTGGAAGTTACCCTTGTTGATCAAGGTAGGCAGAAAGACCTTGTCACTGGCATGCATTGCATGGGGAGACCCCACATCTAACTGTGATGGTAGGAGAACGTAACCAATGAAGCTTTTGAGGAGATTGAAGCTTTTACCAACTCGTATAATCCTGGCGTACAATCCCGTTCTAACTCCGGTTCAGTCCTCTGGTCGCAATTTCTACGAAGACTAGTCCACCCTTTCTCCACCTCCCAAAAATTTAGTCCTTAGGCCATACCAATTTAATTTGTTGGTTCTCAGATTTTTTCAGAAAAAATATGAAGCGACAGTGCGAAAAAAATAAAAATAAAAACGGATCTAGGCATCCTATTATAGCCCCGAATACTACAAAAGGAGCCGTGAAGTCAACACAACAGGCTGTGTTAATATTTAAACTACCAATGAGTTGATTCAGAACCAGAATCTCTTTTTTTTTTTTGCCAATCAGAAAAAAAAAAGAGGCAAATCCGAGAACCAACAAATTAAATTGGTGTCATACGTCATGCATTATTTTGGGAACTTTGCAGAATCGGTCCAAGTGCTTGTGTGATCCCTTTGTGAGAACTGTGTGACTTGGGGCAAATGAAAACTCTAGCCTATATTTTAGGCTATATTATACTGTAAAGTGTAATTCCTGACTTTTTCACTGCATTTTCATATTCTCTGTTTTCATGGTCACTAGTCTTCTATCTGTACCATGAACCTATCATCATTGTTATCAAATCATTCATACTCCCCTTGTAAGATTAAGTTTCGTGAACATGTGAATTTTCCTCAGACCACAAAATTTTGCTGCCGTGAAGACTAAGTGAATTCACAGATTGAAATGGAATCAGAGGAAAGAACGAGAGCTAGAATAGGATGAATTCCAAGACCAACGAACTAGAGAATAAACACAAGATGGGACTGAAAACAGGACAAAATAAATCAAATGGGGTGATTTACTATATATAATTTTACATGGACCAGTGCAGGTTAGCTGCAGGTAGACGTCAAAAATGCACATGTACCTGCACAGGTCCAGTTTTACCTGCAATAACCTGCACATGTAGGTGGTAGTTCAAGCTATGACCCAAAAACACCTTTTACCTAAATGTAGTTGCACAATGTGTGAATCCAATGTGCACATCTACATCTAATATACATAAATTCATAAGGCCACACCTGTCCAATTTAATTATTTGTTGGTTCTCATATTTTTCCAGAAAAAATATGAAGCGACAAGGCAAAAAAAAAAAAAAACAGGTCTAGGCATCCTATTATAGCCCCAAATGATACGATAGGAGCCATGAAGTCAACACAAAAGGCTGGGTTAACATTTAATCAATGAATTTTGAACTTTTGATTGGAAATACTGTAACAACAAGAAAGTAAAAGACTTTCCTCGACTGTTGGAGGCAAAATCTTCAGAACCAAAATCTTTTTTGTTTGCAAATCAGAAAAAAAATGAAGAGGCAAATCCGAGAACCAACAAATTAAATTGGGGTGGCCTAAACTTCGAAAAATACCTTCATCTGGTAAACCAAAAGTGCATCTGACAAACACTCAAAAAACACAATGTAATCCCAACAAACTACCAGTGTACCAACTGAAAATGTACAGCCAATATTTCACCTTAACAGAACCCCAACACACCGTGTTCAGTAGTGCACCTTACCTGTATGGATATGTTGGGCTGCTGTCCCTGTTGCTGTCCTTGCTGTGAACTGCGCTGTCCCATCTCCAGCCCGCTGCCCAGATTCATGTGGCTGCTGCCTCCAAACTCTAGTCCCGCATTCCGAACAATATCTGTAATATCATACAAAATAATAGAAAAATCATACTCAGAGTGTGTATGCCATAAGGCCACAGCAATTTAATTTGTTGGTTCTCGGATTCGCCTCTTCATTTTTTTCTGATCTGCAAAAAAAAAAAAATTCTGGTTCTGAATCAACTCAAAAATGCTCATATTTTGCTCGCAACAGTTGAGGAAAGTCCTTTTCTTCCTAGTTGTTACAGTTTTCTATGTATCAATGAAGTGGTTTGATGAAAAGTAAAAAATTCATACTGTAAGTTTGAATATTAGCCCAGCCTTTTGTGTTGACTTCTTGGCTCCTATCATAGCATTTGGGGCTATAATAGGATGCCTAGACCTGTTTTATTTTTATTTTTTTCGCCATGTCGCTTCATATTTTTTATGAAAAAATCCGAGGACCAACAAATTAAATTGGTGTGGCCTAAAGTTGGAATTTTGTTCTAGTTCTGTACAAAACAGAAGGAACAGTTGGAAAGCAGTGAAAGGTGTATTAAATTTTAAAAGAAAATAGAGACTGTCACAGCATTCTGAGGATGACATGCTTTCTTTTTTCAACCAAAAATAGTAAAAATAATAACAGTAAAGAAATCGTGACATGCTTGCATAATTTTATACCTTTACACATGTCAGGGCTCAAAATACTTTTTCCGGCATACCTGCACTGGTACAGGCAAAACTGAAAATCACTTGCACCAGATAAACTTTTTCCAGCATCACTTAACAATTTAGGAAGTAAAAAGATTGTATGGGTGGTATTTTGAGCCCTGTTAATATATGGTTTGTACATGTGGATTGTTAACTTACGGTTAAAAAAAAAGCAAGCCCACTCATTAGTTCTATTAGGGACAGATAAGAAAGGACTTTTTGGGGCGTAAAAATCTCCTTTTCTTTCACCATTCACTTTTTCACCAATTTTGCACTGCATTTTTTTTGTTTAACTCTACCTGTGTCACAACCATATGCGATATTATTGCATGTACATGGGTCAGACACAGGAAATGGGGTGAATTTGAAGGTCACAAAACTAAAATACTTGCCAAATGTTGAAAATTTCTTTTTTCACGCAGCCCCTACATGAGCCTTCCTGGTCCATCCCTTACCTTGATTAATTTCTTTTTCACAAAGGCCGCACCCACATTCATTCTCTTCCAGCTCAGTGTCTTTCATTCCCATGGTAGTGGTGGGTAAACGGACAGAAATACAACCAGGGCCAGGGTGGGAGTGATTGTCACAGAAAAAAGAAGAGAAAGGAACAACACAGAAAGAAAGAAAAAACATGGAAAAAGTAAGATGTAACTCTAGAATGAGCACAAACAAAACTATTCATATAATGCAAGAAAGAAAAGAAAGGAAGTTGAGAAAATAAAATGTACAAGCTTTACTATGAGAGTATGAATAATTCTAAAGATGATAAAAAATAATGAAAAATGGAGGTATTGGTTTTGGGTGTGTCTGCCTGTGTGTCTGTTTGTGTGACTGTGTTTCCACAGTTGACAAGTTGCAGCTGATGCAAGGCTGAGTTGGCCTTAAGGTCGAGTCCATTTCCTTCAAGGTAAGGTTGTTACTAATCACTAGTCTTTGTTTTTAGACTAAATTAGAGGCATATGCAGTGACACTTCCTCTCCCTATTCTCCCTTATGTTTTACTGACAAGGAGCACAGATTCTGAAGCAAAGAAGATCGCTCCTTTTTGCACATTCATTAGGGATTTTTTTAGTTGAGAAAACCGTAAACCCAAAATGATCCTGCTAATACAATTTTATTTCCGTATTCAATGAGACAAATAATTCTAGCTCTTAAAATTTCAAGAAGGTAATGTGATCTCTGAATTCTTGTGTTACCTTGCAGCGGCTCAAATGTATCCATAAAGTCTTCCAAGTTGGGCTGTAGCTGGATCAAGCCTGGCTGGATCATGTCTGCGTTACCAAGATGAGCTGTGAAAAACAGAGACGACACCTTGGATCACTAACACTGATGTATTTGAGTGGCAAGTTGGTCATTGACTTGTGAATTGAAGGTTCAAATCCTTATTAGGCCTTATTTTTTTTGTCACTCCTTTCAGGTAAAAATGAGTCCATTGCTTCAGATACAAATGTAGGGATATCCTCTCTGATGGAATGAAATGATTTCCTTTCTTTTTTTCTTTGAATTCTTACTACTAGATCAAATTGCACACACCATACAAACTTGTGCTGTGTACCTTAACTCACATTTAGGTTCAGGTCCGGATTCAAGTCCAGGGGTTTAGGTTCAGTTCTGGACTCGTAAGTCCCCATGGCATATACAAAATGGCATGTTGGCAACCTTGCAATGTTGTTTGGGCAAAATTTTGGCCACATAACATGGAGGCCGACACTTGACGATGCCCGATGGCAATGTTTTCTTCATTTTGCAGCACAGATTTTGAAATCAGTGGAAGGTTTTAGGCGGTATGGAAAGAAAAGGGGTATATGACATGTTGTTTTTTTTTTAACATGTCCGGAATTGGTTCTTGACTTTTAGTTTTTTTGGGACTTGAACTTAAACATTTTTACAAGTCCGGAACCGGTCCAGCGAACCGGTACACAGCACTAAATACAAACATAAAACTGTGTTTGTGAGAAACTTGCCGATCTCCTTGGGGTTGGGAAAGGCGAACGGTTGGGCCAGACTGGAGAAGAGCGTGTCGGTGAAGTCCATCATCCACGCGTCCTCCTCCGAGAAGGTCGGCACGAATGGCGAGGGCAGCGGCGTTTCCTTCTTCTGCGGGGACTTCTGCCGCTCCTGCCTTTCCCGAAGTATCGTGTAGTCATCCTAGAACACAAATAAACTGTTGTCTAGTAAATAATTTCTTCAGGTTGGTAAACGATTGAATAGCAAAGTTCTTTGATCACAACCATTTATTTTTTGACGAGCCGACGTTTCGATGACCATCTGTCATCTTCATCAGGGCAATTCTGACTGGTTTGCTGTGCACTGACACTAGATGTAACTTGGTGCATAGTGCATTAAAGGTGTTACATGGTTCACTAAAGGTGCACTGTTAACCATGTAACACCTGTAGTGCACTATGCACCAAGTAACATCTAGCATAAGTGCACAGCAAACCAGTCAGAATTGCCCCGATGAAGATGACAGACGGCCATCGAAACGTCGGCTCGTGAAAAAAATGGTTGTGATCAAAGAACTTTGATATTCATGTTGTGTAGAGTGATTCTAAATGTCTTTTCCGTGACTCAAATTGTGTAGTTTGACAGGCCACTTCTGTTTTGATATTATGCGTAACTCAACTTTGTTTCGCCACTACGTTCAGAAGTTTCGTGATTAGTTTCGCCCAACGCCAAACCTTACATGCTAATGCAGCTAGCTTCATTTTAAAGAGAGAAAAAAAAGTTGTATAACTGAACAAATAGAACATCTTTACCTGTGTTATGGATCAGAAACAAGCTATTACTAACACCAGATTGTGAGTAAAAACACTTCTTAACAGCCACCTTAAATGCACCCCAGCTACCAAAAGTGACATAAAAGAAAATGTCACTACGGATTAGACGAAGCCGAACGCTTGCCTCTGGGTGATCCATAAGCACAATTTTAAAATTACAGAGTTCACAGAGACTGAACATTCAATGAAAGCATATCTAGCACATAGCTGATTTTCTTGGCATCTATCAGCAAATTTGAGGCATCTCTATCCATAGTAGTGCTGTGTACCTAAACCCACATTTAGGTTCTGGTCTGGATTCAAGTCCAGAGATTTAGGTTCAGTTCCAGACTCGTAAGTCTGGACCTTAACCCATGGCATCTACAAAATTGCATGTTAGCAATGTTGTTTGGGCAAAACTTGGAGGCCGACACTTGACGATACCCGATGGCAATGTTTTCTTCATTTTGCAGCACAGATTTTGCAACCTACGGAAGGTTTTTAGTTGGTTTGGAAAGAAAAAGGGTATGTGACATGGGATTTTTTTTAATAAGTCCGGAATCAGTTCTTGACTTTTAGGTTTTTTTGGACTTGGACCTAAACATTTTTACAAGTCCAGGACCGGTCCAGTGAACCAGTACACAGCACTAATCCATAGCCTAGCAGCTTATTTTTGAACTGCAGACGAAAATGATCCTCTAGAAGAAACAAAGCTCCTGCGAGAGAGGTTTATTATATTCTGCTGGTGATTTTTTTTCTAAGTTTTCATTTATTTTCAAGTCTCTGTGATGCGGAATTTTAAATTGAACGAATGTCACTTTGATTGCTAAGCTGTTTATTTTTGTTATGAACATTTTTTAAAATAACAAACAAAAGTGGTCTGTATTCACCCTCCCTGCCCCTGTGGCGTCCCACCAGGGACATGGTTCCTGCCGCTCACGGAGATAGTAGAAGTCATCCTGTAGAGGGTGAAAACATCGTGCTTCGTACCAAAACCAACAAAAATTTAACTACTGATATCTAGAGTATCTAGAACTGATATCGTTGAAGAGGTTCATCAGTCACGTAGAATTAACAGTTAGTAGAAATTCTTCGATCAGTGACTGTATTTTGTGAGGTAAATCACGTACCTTACAAAAATACAGTCACTGATCAAAGAATTTCTACTAACTGCTAGAACTGATAATGTTAAAGGAAACTAAATAATCTTAAGTTCAAAATCAAAGAAAAGTCTGTGTATAGATTAGGACTCTCGTAGCTGTTTGAAAACTAAAAATTGCCCCCAAAACAAAATGAAATGTAGACATATACACAAATACGTGTATATCTTAAATAATATTATGTATGATCCTGTTCTCTAATGTTGATGATTGATCTCAATGAAAACCAGACAGCAGTCTATATTCAGTATTTCATATGCTAACAAAAGCTAAAAAAAGTAAGATAATATAATATAAAAAAATAAAACACTATTCTTAAAGGCATCCAATGCAATTTCAGGGCAGCAAAACAAAAAAAAATCCCGGATATGGAAATTTGTCTGATAATGACAATAATTACTGCTATTTCTGAGCACATTTTTGTCATCATTTCATACTTAAAAGCATTTGAAATAGCCCAAAACAGGCTACAATGCACTTTATTTTTTGGTACCACCAATAAACAGCTAGAACCAGCCTACGGTAGGAAACAAGCAACCATTTTCCATCAGCGACATCATATTTTTGCCTCACACATCAATATGCAATGGCATAGGGTTGATTCAACTTACATTAAAGGAATGACCAGAAAATGGACTTTGAAAATGCAGTTTTACTGCCCTGAAATCACTTTGAATGCCTTTGAAAAGTCACATACCAGAGTCCAGCCCATGTAGTGTGATGGCGGCATGTTTAGCGGCATGTCCAGCGCGTCTAGCTTCAGAAGATCCTCATCCGTAGGACAGTTCATCCGCTGAAAAAAGGCAGTCTTTCCAATCAAGACATGCCCAGACAAGTTGGGGGAGGTTAGCCGAAAAAAACGTAAAAAAGGCGGTGAGGAAAAGCAAGCGTAAGCGCAATAAACATGGGTTGTTATTCAGCTGTGGAGGAAAAACAAGGGTAAAAACATTAACAAGGTTTCCACAAAGTGCGAACAGTAGGTCAGCCGGTGCACAGAAATGCTTGTGGATTCAAACTTTAAGTGAAGAAAACCTCAGGGGATCCCAGCGTATCAAATAATGTTGCAATTTTATAGTAGGAGGGATTTATACTCCTGTCTGACAGGAAGCACTGGAAAGAAATGCTGTAAGCAGTTTCTTTGCAGTATATTAAGTTTCCACAACCTCCACTTGGAACAAGTTTTTTGATACTCGAAGGTGCTCAGAGATTTTTGTGACTTCCATTCTACTTCTTTGATCCAATACCAGTAAGCTAACCATTTAGTGAAGGCCATATCCAGTCAATCACTTCCATTAAACCTTTCCCTAGATGCTTGAAGACCTACACCTCTAAGTCAGGAGAATTAGGAACATTTTAATCCTGTTGATTTATGCATATGTGCTATACCGATATTGACCAATCAAAGTTTAAACTGAGAAGTGACTGTTATAAAGGTGTTAGAGGTTGTGGTGACTGGTTTCCATGGTGACAGAGAATCCTGGACTCCCATTGGACTGATTTTGATGGTGATGAAGAATCCTGAGCTCCTATTGGTTGTTTTAAAAATGGTTCTCCCAACTTAGAGATACAATATATATGGAGGAGGCCAAATCAGCCCCTGACAGCGAGAGATTCTATAAAATTGTCTATACATTGCACTAAGAAATGTACATGGAAGCCCATTGTTCAAATGCGAGTTGAGCATCACCAATTCACAAACCAACAGCTATAACTTTTTTTCCTTATATCCCTTGAGGCATTTTTAGATAGAGTGCAACTAAACAAGTCACCGCCTTTGTGCACATGCAGAAAGAACGGAACACTGCACAAGACAAGCATGCCTTTTACAGCAATGCATGTGTGGTTATGGACAAATGGGGGGAGGGGGTAACAACATAGTTCAAACTGTTCCAGAACTTTACAACATACATGTACATGCATTTAACTGGAAATTGTGACAACTACTACCACTGTCCAACCTTAAAATTATACAACTTTGGAACTGGTGCACTGATGCAGTTTTAGTACGAACTGTAACTTCTCAATTCCTTCACTCTGATCACAATGTTGTAGCAAATTCATAATAAAAACATAACGACATAACAAACACATTAACTTTTAAGGTATTCCATTAGGTGTGAAATATAAAATATGGGTGCAATAAAGTGCTTTCCAATCTTAAGATATTACAGTCAAGGACATGTATCATTATCAACATACATGTAACAATGACCTCTAGCAGATTTGATATAAACTGCAGTACGCTTTTATATAATACCATGTACATGTAAGACAGTGGAAATCCTACAGGTATGTACTTAAGAAATGTTATCCCTGTCCTTTGTAGAAAGCATTACCTTCTTCTTGTAGTACACTCTCCATTTCATGTACTCCTTGACCACGGTCTCCATGCGTCTCTTCCAGTACTTCCCTTCTAGCACAACAGCCTGAAGAAACAAACACATGTATGCAACTCTAGCAACTTAAACATTTCATAATCTTGGGCTCACATGTTTTACAAGTGCATTGGATAAAATAAAATATGGTATCTTTGGTTGATTCAGTTTTATTGGAAAGTGATTATGTTCCAGTGGCACAAGCTACAGACTTTTTAATGGGTTGACAATTTGGCAAGATCTCAGCTACCTAGCCTCCATTGCAGGCTTATAGAACTGGGGGTTTGGTGGTCTTCGGCTGTTTTCTGATAAGCCCAGTTCTAAAAAACGGGGGTAATTCAATCAGGCCGGCTATGTTGTCCATATGCAATCAGAAAATAGCACATAAAAGCTCCCAAAGACCCTGAAGACCCCCCAAACCCCCAGTTTTTGGCATGCTATGGAGGCTATCAGCTACCCTCCTGAGGGCATGAACACTGCAGTACCATTCCATGCTGCATGGTGGCACTGCATCACAGGTCATGTGGACCCTTCCTCCTCCTACCATGTACTAACCTGGGGGATACTGTAGGTGTCGTCAGCCATGGGATTGGACACAAACTGACACACCAAGGGTTTCCGACGATTCACATCTAGATCATAGAAACAGGAGACACAGCAGAGAAGAGAACACAAAACCGTCATAGATTTAACAACGACTGACCTGTGGGAGGGAATGTGCGTCGTCGGCAAGCGGGTTTGCGACAAACTGGCAGACCAAGGGCGACTTCTTGTTGATATCTGTGCATGGGACGGCAAAGGTGTCAGGGTTTAGCTGCAGCAGCTCTAAATTATCCTGTCCAATCACAGTCTTCGAAACTCGGGATTCGAATCAGCCATGACCCATCAAATAGCTTCCTTTACACGTAGTTAGTCCAAGGCTCTCCTCAAGCAATGAAGCAAGGGTGCTCCCCCTCTCCTCAAAATCACCATTCCCAAAATGTTTAGGGTTTTCTCTTAGTATTTTCATGCAAATTTGCTGATCATCAACTGATTAGGGAGCACCTCTTAGCACAACATAGGGAAAAGCAAGCCCCCAACTTCCATGTGGATACTAGTAGTATCACTTTTCTTTTACTTACAGAACTTTAGAAGTATTGTTTCGAGTGGCTGATTTTGCGGGTTTGCGGGTCTATCCTACTTGCTTTTGGTTGATTGCTTTTGCAGTTGATTTAGAATCCCCCAAAAAATTTATTTTCTTGCAAATCAGAAAAAAATGGACAGGGCGGATCCAAAAAACAACAAATTTAATTAGTGTGGCCTAATGATGTAACTTCAAGCAAGCTGTTGGGTCATGGCTGGCTTTCACGACTTTGATTGGACACGATGATACTACACACAGCGTCAACATGCATACTTGCAGACCAGCAAAGCTAAGTTAAAATTCTGGTTGCTGTTGATAGAAAGAAAAGGCAATTCTCTTTTTTGCTCCCTGTTCCACTTACATTGGATGTGCCATGCTCTCCAGATAGCATTGTTCAGACGAATCTTGTCTTTCCACAAAAGCTTCAATCCTTTGAACGTCTTCCATTTTGGGGACACCAACTTGCCACTGGAAATAGATGAACAATCATTCAATTACTGGAACAACAGTCCCTGCACATTGTGTATCAAAGTTCAAACAAAGCGAAATTCCTTTACATGCAAGTTAAAGATACGCCAAAAATCAGTTACTCAACAGTATAAGTTATATGATACGCCAAAAATCAGTTAACTTAAAATCCAGTTGCTTGAGTAAGTTATAGTACTTTCCTTTAAAAATGAGACATAAATAAGTTTTTGCTGACATTCTACTTGTTTTGTTTTATTTAGTGCAGTTTTTGTGAACCCAATTTTTAGGTTGGGTGCACCAGTGCACCTACTCACAAAAATGAATTTCAAGGGCTACTATAAGAATTCAAATGTGACTCAGTATATCCTATCTAAGCGTGTATTTTTTTTAGTCACATTTAAATTTGGAGCCTTGTCCAAGCTAGTATTACAGGTTATGTATGCGCATATACATTTGTACATGCACCACTGGATACTACGCTAGCCCCACTACCATATTTGGTTACCTGAAAAATCTTGCGGGTCATCTGAGGTAATACAATATATCTTAGACCTGACAACTTCATCTAAAGGACCGTTTTATAACATGTATAAAATTTGATTCTGAAGAAAGGGGGCTGCACTATATTTCAAATTTTACAGATCATTAATTTTGAATGACACTCACCCAAGTCTTGTTTATTATAGGCTGTACCAATTTTGCCTTTCTCTGACCTTTATCAACTTATTGACAATATTGGAGCTGTGTCATTGTGAGCATTAAAGTACATGTGCGAATTAATGGACAAAGTTCATCCTATAAAATTACAATTCCAAGTATTTGGCCATTTAAAAGAGAAAGCTAATATATTTGTTACATCTTTTGATAAACCAACTAATATCATGCTGCGCCATTTATAAATCCATACAATTACCAAGAAGCGAGAGGAAGCCACATGTTTTATAATACTACATGTATTTGTAAACATAATAAATATTAGACCTGTGGGCAAAAATATATAATTTATGTACAATAAAGGTCTTAATCTACTAATTAGAAAAGATGGAAATTGTCTTAATTGAAACATGAAGCTCCCTTAAATAAACTACCTAAATAAAGGTTACAACACTAAACAGTCATAAATTATTCATATTTCTTTATGGTATGGGCCTTCCAGCAATGTTTTCATAGCTAGGCGATGATCCTTCACTATTAAATATAGCCCGGCTATGCCGGCAACTGGCAACATTCCTAGCTTTCATGTTAATCCCTTGTTTCCGACATTTAGCTCAAGTTCGTGACAAATAAATACATTGAAACAGGGCCAAAAGGGACTAAGTATTACAGGTAGCTTTTATGATTTTAAAGAAACGTTGGTTGTGTCATAATTCCTACCCACAGCCGACCTGCTATGTAATTGATGGGTAGAAGAAAGCCAACACTGTGAAAGTATGTTAGTCACATGAGGTGGTACTCTAAACATGGTCATATCCACACAACTGGATACCATGCACATCCTAACTGGGCCATACTGTAGTGGCTAATGACAGCTATATCGACTTGAAGACATTGTCTACCCACTATATTATTATACATGTATACATAAGGTTATCTTAATTGATAAATCATATTGGAACTATATCTAGTTTTGCTTTTGTCTTTGTATTTTGAATTTGTAGTGTTGTTTTTTTACTTTCAATTGCAGACATTTTGAGTACAGATAACATGAAGTCAGGGGTATACCTAAATGCATTTAAACACTGTCCAGTGGTTAGCTATAGCGACCCTGCCTTTGGAACATATTGTGAGTTTGAATCCCAACTGTTTCAGCTCATCCCACATGCATGCTCCAGGAAAGAGTTTCAGTTTTTAGGAAAGGACGTTAAGCTGTGGTCCACTATTCATTGTGCTTGTTGAAAAGAGCTAGGGGAATTTCCCCAATACAATGAACCTGTATATACTGTAAAATCATACTAAAATGTCTGTCTTCTCTGTCATAACCAGTGGAAGAGTAAGTCAAGTATTCCTTTAGTATTGAGTATTCCTTTGAACTTAACTAGTTAGACATCACTTTCAGTTTCACACTGTGTGGCATACAATACACTAACGTTTTTAATATCATAAATCCATATCTATAAATATAAATACCTGTCTTTTTCTCCAGTCTTATAGCTAAAAACAAAACTAGGTCAGAGGTTGACAACCTCATTATGATTTGTTTATTATATTTGTGGCCGCCATGCGATATTGCTTGTGTTCTGGCATGTGTAGAATTCAAAATAACAGTGAGTTATTTGATCTGTTGTGTTCCTTTCACTGGTCATCACTCATAAATAATCAGCTGGACATATTATATGTAATATCAAACACATCAGGGTTCAGTACATCTAATTTTTGGCATTACATTTATGCTAAACTGGCATAGGAATATGCAAATTAGCATACAGCATATACATGTAGTTCTTGTAGTTAACATTTTAGTGTGAACATAAAATAACAAACTCCGACGCTCCTACCGAATGGGCTAAAAGGTCTAGACCCCTTGGCCAGGTCAGTTGGTAGTGCCTATAAACCCCCCCACTGTTACAGTAGCTACATGTATTTATGTCCCATTGAACATTGTGACCGTACGTACACCAAAGTACTGAACTTTGGTAAGGTCACAATGGTACTGTAAATCGTGAAATATTCTCTGCAGTTTTAAGTTTGCAGTTTTCGTAACATGACATCTTACCAGTAAATGCGATATCATCACATTGGGAACCATACCGATTTTCTGTGTGTCCAAAAATCTATAATACACAATGAATTCCTCCTTTCCCCCTTACTGTAAGACTATATAATACCCCCTCGTACATAAATGAATTTGCAGTAAAACAAGAGACCTTTGGTAGCATTTGGATCAATGCATGGACACGTTTCTATAGAGTCTATTTGAGTTCACGTCACGTTGACATTGGCCTCTATTCCAAAAGGGATAAACAGAATTGTGCCACATACATGTGTATATGTGCTATCACTGCAAAATCCCTGTCACTGACAGATAGTGGGACAGAGGGCCTGGATTCTCAAGAATTTGACAACTTAACACATACTGCATGTACATGCTAATAGAGTCCTCTGTCCAGATTTCAATGATCGCTGGAAATTTGTTGAACCCTTCAGCCTGCTAAGGTAACCACTAACCACCATTATTGGTTTTGGGGTTAGGCAGTAGTGAGTTAAAGACCACAAATAAATCATACAAAAGCTGAGGAAAATAACATTTTTTGGTACTTAAATATTTGTACACTAAACCCACATACAAGCAACATGTCTGAATACTTCTCTGTTCCAACTAACTTTTTGACAGCTGACTCTTTAGATATTGCTTGTGGCCATATGTAACTTTTGACCTTTAATTTTCAATAATGTTGTACAGTATGATCATACTAAGTCTAATTTGGGGGTGGGTGGAAAAGGAAGTGCTACTAGTATGTAAGAATGGCTAAATGGCTAAAAATGTCTTGTGGCCATACGTAACTTTTGACCTTCAATTTCCAATACAAGTACTGTACATTTACATCATACTATGTCTAATTTTGGTTTGGGGTGGGTGGAAGAGGAAGTCAGCTATGTAAGAATGGCTAAATCTGTCTAACTAGGAAGTCATCCTTTCCATAAAGAGTTAGAGGGTACAGGTCACATGTATATGGTTAACTGTGTCATTTTTAGGGTTTGGTTTCGTGTACACACATCTGTATATTTCATCATCACTCTCTTATTTTTGTGTCACAGTATCTTTAACATTTAAAGCATTGAGTCTGTGACATTTTATGTTACAAATACCAGATGTGAACTCCCCTTGCCAAATCTATATCCTAACCATAACATAAACAACATATTGGAACATACAACAACTTATTCCACAAGGTAATACTAATAATTCTTTGGCTTACAGTTGTCTTGATAACCAAGCGCTTATCTTAATCTCCATAAACTATATAGAAAATCCTTTCTTATCAAGTTGCAGACAGATGAGATCAACACTGTGTGATAAATTTTAATGCAGAAACTTTTGCAGTGGTTTAATTTTTGCAGATTTTGCTGTAACTTCTCTACAACGATTCATGACATCTTGAATCTGTATGCCAACATCATCTACCAGATATACCTTTGACCCAGTGTTGACGTCACACTTCAAAGAAACCATGTGACAAGCCTCACTGGGTCAGTCTACTGAGTGACTGGTCAAAAGCTCTAGGTAAGAAAACTTTTGTGTTGGACCAAAAGTTTTAACTTTAAACATGTAACTACCAACACAGATGAACTTTCATGATAGTAAAAGTCATACTTACTTGTACGCCAGTGTCATACACTCGAACAGCTTAGTCAGGGAGGCGTCTATGGACAGTTGTTTGGAGGATCGGAACCCAAACTGGTACGAAGCCATGACCTCTTTCGCCGCCGCGCCGAAGTCGAAACCCGGGCTGCTCGGGGCCTTCTCCTCTCGCTGGCTGGGTTCGTTGAATGTGCCCTGGGATAGCGTGGACATCTGGTTGGGGGTCTGGGCGCGGGAGGATTCGTTAGAGTCCTCGGGAGTGACGCTAGCGTTGGAGTTGTGGATGTACGACACCATGAAATGGCCGCTGTGGATGGCCTTGTCTCCATTGGCAGTTGTAACGATGGCACCATCCTGAAAACGAGATAAAATTTGTCTGTTTGTTTGTTTGTTTGTTTGTTTGTTTGTTTAGGCCTTACATACCAATTTTTCTTCAGTAAGCAGGGATCGAAATAATGGGTGCATGTGCACCTTAGTGCACCCAAAATTGGATCGGTGCACCCAATTTTTGACTGTGGGTGCACCGGTGCACCTAAATATTTTTGTAGTATTAAGTACGGTAAAGGTACAAAACACTGTAATTCCAACATTGCTGTGATGGAATAAAATAATAAAAAACCTTTGATGCACTGCTTGTTTGAAATTCTTGAGATAGAATTAGATTTACGTCAGTTTTTAAAGCCCGAAAATGTGTCGGCGCAGTGCCGACATCGCGTTACCCACCAACTTCCGGATCCCGACTACAACACTGGACACGAGATCTCTTCCTTCTCGTTCCCCGGTTTCTTGATAGTCATGTGACCAAAACATCGCGAACTCGCTTCCGGAACTTTCCGACGCTTTTTGGGAGTTACCTCGGGGGCATGTCATGTGACAAAATGTTGTTTTCGTGCAGTTTTCGCTTGCCTTCGATAATCTTCGAGGTCACATCGTCAATACCCGGGTGTCGACAAAATTCGGCCATGAAATTCGTGGATGACAAAGCAAAACAAATATGTCGAGGCAGACTTCGCTTCTACGGTTCCTTCAGCAGAGGTCCGATCGTGATGGCGACGAAAGAGATGTGGCAACAACATCATCAGCCCAAGCTCTTCAAAACCCCGAAGGAACCGATGAAGCTGGAAACCAACGGGAAACACGCCCGGACGAGGGAGAAGTGGACCGACCGTGCCGTGGGAGCGCCGAGACAGAGGGGGAGGGGGGCGGCCATGTGCTCTCGGCAGCAGACAACACTCCCGGGCCGTCATCAGAGTCGGATTCCGAGTCAGAGTCTGATTCAACTGAGGAGTCAAGTGCAAAACGACCGGGGGTTTGTGTGAGTTTTTTTTTTATTTCTAGTATTTTTTTTAAATATTTTTTTTTCGATCTCGGAATCCAAATTTGCCTTTTTTTCGGTAAGATCATTACTGTGTTATTTCCATAGCGATGCAATTTCCACTCTTGCTACGATCATTTTTAGCATTCTTTACGTGTGGAACCCTTAATTTTTTAAGTATACTGTGAAGTCTTACCCAGAAATTAAAGGTTGCTGTGTAGAAATTTCGTATTTTGCCCAAAGCAAGTCATTTGAATTCATAATTTTACCTAAACTTTACCCTTACTTTAAAAAAAAGCAAGCAAAGGAACATGTTGTTAAGAAATTAAACAAAATCATTGATACTATCGTGTTTGTCATTTGTTTCTATTTCAACCAACTTCTCTACCAGTTTATCATTTGTGACCAAGTTTAAACAGAAGATTGTTGATTGTAGTACAATTAAAAGTACTGTACAGTCTGAAGTGTCTTCTTTTGGTAATTTTTGTGTCCCTTTGGAAAAAGAATTGCAGTCAATTTTGTTATTTGTTTGACTGTCACCTTACTATTGGCTTTTTCACTGAAATTTTAACAAATGTGATATTAAAGCTGACCTAAAGCAGTGAACAGGGCAAGGCGTTTTTTGTTTATAAGGCCAAACAATTGTTTATTTCTTTAGGATAAAGGAAAGAAGAGAAAGAAGAAGAAGAAGAAGATATACCTGTTCCAAGATTCATGGTTCGTGGACAAGACAACCAAACAAAGACGCACTTGGCTGAAACAAAAAAACAGAAAGCTTATGTGGTGTGAGGCTTGCAGAAAATATAACAAGAGTGGCAAAAAGAATGCCTTCATTACAGGGACAACTTCCATGAGATTAAAAGTGATAGAGTCTCATGAAAAATCACCAGGTCACGTCAGTGCTATGAACCGTTTTGACATGGAAAGGGTGCCAATTCAAGAAAGACCCATGGAAAAGGTGGTGCAGAAGATGGAAGAAAAGAAGTTACAGCAGATGATAAATCTCTTCCGAACTGCATTCTATGTGGCCAAGCAAGGCAGACCGTACACAGACTTCCCGGAGCTACTAAGATTGCAAAAATGTAATGGGCTGGATGTTGGAACCGCTTACTGGAATGACAAGGAAGCGCGTATATTTGTGGACTACATCTCCCTTGGAATGAAGAAGGAGTTACGCTCCAGTCTGCAGGAATCGGACTTCGTCGCTGTCCTAGCAGATGGAAGCAGTGATGCGGGTAATATCGAAGAGGAGGTTATCCAAATCAGGTACCTCAAGGACAACATCGAGCCAACCACTGCTTTTGTTGCCCTGAAGTCTCTGGAAAGAGGGGATGCTGTGAACATAACTGACGCTGTCAAATCAGCCCTCAAGGAAGATCTGGAGATGGGGGAGGAGTGGAAAAACAAGCTAGCTTTTGCCTGCTTTGACGGGGCCGCAGTCAATGTTGGCCATCTCAGCGGTGTTGGTGTGAGATTGCAGGAAGAATGTCCTCACTTGATTGTGCTCCACTGCTGTGCGCACAGACTAGAATTAGTTGTGAAAGATGTATTGAAAGAAGTGCCATACTTTGCTGCAGTACAAGATTTATTCACTACAATATACAAGTTCTATCACAACTCAGCTCTCAATTGGCAAGGCCTTCGAAATGCTGGTGAAGCCCTAGACATACTGGTGCTAAAACCAGTTAGAGCAAGTGGTACGAGATGGCTGCCCCACCAAGAGCGTGCTCTCAAGGCTGTCATGAGAGACTTCCCAGCTCTTGTTCAACATCTTGGCCACCTTGTGGAACATGGAGAAGTTGGCAGCAAGGACAGCAGGGAAAAAGCGAATGGGATTCTACAAGGTGTGAAGTCTATCAAGTTTGTATTGTTCCTTTTGTTCCTGTCACAATACCTACAGCTCATGTCATCCCTGTCAAAAGTTTTCCAGGACAACAGCAGTACGCTGGAAACAGTGTATAGAAGAGTTGAAAATGTTGTCAAAACATTGAACAAACTGTCCCGACCAGAGAAATTGTCCAGGATCTTCTCTGAAGGCATGGAAGAAAGAGACGGGGTTGTGCTGTGGAAGGGAATCCCACTGCAGGCAGGCAGACCACAACGTGGACGACCTGGAGGTCTTGCTTCACAGAGGGAAGAAGTGATAAAGGACTGTCAACAGATTATCAATGCAACATCACATCATCTTGGTCGTAGGTTTGACGTCTTGCTGAGTCACAGGGTGTTCAGTGCAGCCAGAAGGGTTTCCAGTTTCAACTTGGCCACAGGATGATGATGATGACCCAGATGATGACTTTGGAGACGATGACATTAGGACCATCTATCAGCACTTTCAACATCCAGTTGAACTGAAAGGCGTTGACCTTGAGAGCTGCTTAAGGGAGTGGAGCGAGTTAAAAGAGGTTTGCAGGAACCAGCTGTCACAAGCAAGAAGAGCTCCCAGTTTCAGTGAGTTTTGGATGCGCTTCATGAGAAGAGAGGAGGCAGACAGTGATTACAGGAACATCTTCACTCTGCTGAGGCTTTCCCTTGTCATTCCTATTCATACGGCGCAGTGCGAGAGATCATTTTCTCTCATGAACAGAATCAAAACTGACTGGCGTGCCCGACTGGAATCCAACAGCTTGACAAGTCTCATGACGATCTCGTTAAGTCCTCAGTCCTTGGACACGTTTGACCCCCTCCCGGCAGTCACCTTGTGGTGGGAGGGTGGCAGAAGGAGACCTAACACCACCCCCTATGGGCCTAGAAGATGCCAAAACAGAGATGTTTCAAGCTCTGAGTCTGAAGAGGAGCAGTAAGGTTGGTTAGATAGCTAAAGAGGAGCAGTGATGTTGTTAATTTGATATTAGTAATATTTTACTTATTAATGTACTACTGGAAATATGTGGTGCACCCAAAAATTTTTTGGTGCACCTAATTTTTTTGGTTAGGTGCACCAGTGCACCTAATCCAAAAAATGAATTTCGATCCCTGGTAAGTACAAGTTGCATTTGACTGGACTTCAAGACTTGAACCACTCACACCAGGAAGGAATATAACTCTTTTCGATAAGACTAGTGGGATCTTTAAAGTGTTCGAGGTGTGGCTCACCTCAAACAAGGAACCTTAGCATTTTAATCTAGAATATCTAGGAAATAGACTTAATATGGACTTAGTATTGGTAGGCCCTCAACCATGTAACCTGTATCTTATTAGTAATATTACATGTATATTTTTGTCTGATCCTGACCTCAGTGAAAAGCGTCCAGGAGGACAATTTTATTATACAATGAATAAACAAAGAAAGAAACAAGTATTGAGTATTCAGACGTTTTCCTGAGTTTCAAGAGCTAACATTGTCATCTTTGAGATGCAATTTACCTATCTTTTGTGTAAAAAGAAATAGTGTCCATTTTAGTTTACATACTGGTAAAGGTGCAATGTACACCAGATGTTCAGGTTTGGACCTGTACCTAAATAATTACTGGTAGGTACTAGTACACAGCCCTTATCTATTAATCTCTACATATATTACCAGACACAATTTGGTACTGCATCAATTATCTACTGGCTGGGGTTTAGTCTAATTATCATACAGGAAAACAAAAGGTTGATTACCTTTTGGTTAATTAATTATGCGACAGAATTACAATGAAGACGCAACATACACATGTACGTTACTGGAACATAAGAATTCTCCCACTTAAAAGCCAATTGTTCCTCACTATACTGACGAAAAGTAGCAGATGCTACTTGAAACATCCGAGACAGTTTTCAAAATCTATGTAGTTACTTGAGTGACTGTATCAAAAAATTCCTTGTGTCATCTTATTACCTGGATGTCTAACCTTCACTGACACACTTCATTGAAATGTTCCTCAATGTATTATGTGTATGTATCAATTTTTCAATTCAGATGACTATTCTCAATGCATAAATGTCATCTCATATTACGATGTTATGACTAAAGAATTAATTATTGAGTCAGTGTTTAGTTACACCCTAATGCATGTGATTATATATTATTACTGCACATATAATATAAATTATTAATATCACAGCTTGTTTCAGGCAACTTTCGAAGATTGAAAGAAATGCCAACAATTGTAGTTTATAAATTGATAGTAAACAACTACCAGTCTTCAACCAAAACATGTTCCTTTCTTTGGCTCCCTTTCAAGAGCCTTGTGACCTACATGTACGTGGCAGGATATTGCAGAGGGCAGAGATATAGCTTTACACATACCAGTACTTTATTGAAACCATTTTAAGTAATTTCTGTATTGTTGTAGCCTTTATAACTGCCCTTTGGTGTAACACACCAGGACTGAACAAGCCGAATTTATAGATTTATGATATGATGACATTTAAAAAATCTATTGCCATCATCAAGCCTGTTTTAATTCAATGTTAAACATTGTTACAGTACTAGGTGAATTATCCATTAACTTAAAAGCATTGTCAGCCCCCCTAAATAACCATTGTTAAGGGTTGCTGGGGTCCCCCAATACAGATCCTCATAATTATGACACATTACATAATTTCCTTCCTGTAACATACAATTTACATTCTTACCTAATTTACATAATTATGTAGACTATAAACATTCCGAACTAAGTCGTGGGTGTACAAGAAATGCCAGCATGTGTCGATCACAAGTGTATCACATGCACATGCACTTCTCTACATAGTGTTCCTGTCTATTGTTTACAACTCACAGCTCATTTGCATAGAAGGCGCGCCACATTTTCTTGAAATCAGCGCCCACTTTACCCCTATCCTTGCATTCTATCTTCACACTTTACCTCAGAATTTGCCACAAAATGTGTTTTTTAGGGAACGAAGGGGGAAATTTGTCCTCAGACGACGTTGCGTAAACATAAATTTATAGCACATGTCTGGTCACGAAGTTGGTTTTTGGACGTGTTGGAGTGTCGTTCTTTAGCTTTTGTCTGCAGTGCAAGTCTTGTCACTGGCTTTAAGTATACTTTACGTAGCAATAAAGACCGTAAAGAAACTGTAGTACGATGGTGTGTGTTTCTGGTAGCATTAGGAACGTTGTGAGATACATAAAAGGCCTTGAAAGATCAGGGGAAGAAATACTTACTGTCGTAGGCGGTGGAAATTGGAGCTCGGCGCCAAGGATACCCCCACTCCCGCCACCGCTGGGTCCGGCCCCTCCGGGACTGAATCCCCGGTCTCCTCGTTCCTTCTTCACGCTCTTCATCATTCCTGGGTAGTCTAAGGGACCGTCGGCTGCATTCTTAGTCATTGGGGATGGTCAAGTCGGTGGAAAGTTTGGCGAAAACTAGAGGTAAATGTGTGTGACCGAAGCTCGCCGTACAACACGGCTAGCTGGCGGCCATCTTGCTTGCTACCGGACGCCTAGGCGATGAAAATTTTTACGTGATCATAATACAAATACACAAAATATATCAATTTTTTACCTCACAGATACCTTATAGATATGTTATTAATATATATAAGTGCCTTTAATGTTTGTTGTGTGTTTTTATGACATATAGAGTACGCATTTAGACTATTATACAGTGAAATACTTTGATGGTATGGGGCCTTGCCCCACTCTCAGCAACCAATGGTAAAGCACGGCAACACGAACATTTTCGGCATCGATTGAATATAGCATGACATCATTTCAATGTGCTGGCCTGCCTGGGGCAGCGACCTTAGCACTGTGCACCCATAATTATCATGTTCCCTTCTACTAAGGTGTTAGCAATACTAGGCAAACAGGATAACTGCAATAGTAGTAGTATGCATATTATAGTAGTTACGTTAGTGACAGAAATTTGCAAACGCTGCAGTATGAAAGAAGCCTGCTAGGTGGCACCAATTCAAATCAATTATTATTTCTATTACTAAATCACATTCTATCTACCTTTGATATGATTGCCGTCAATATGCCAGTTTATCATATTATCGAAATAAAAACATAGACTCTGAACTTACTGACTAGTAACCACAAAGAATGAATGAAATCGGTAGTACAAACGTAATAAATTCCCAATGACCAGAGGGTTTGTCTATTTTGTCCAGAGCTTATTGAGGACGAATATCACTTTCTAATTGTGTGTCCTAATTCCTAAATATATTGATATACGCAATACACTATAGACTAACAGATTCCTTTCCAGCATTTGCCACGATGAACTTGAAAAGCAAATTTAAATACATATTGAGTTGTGACAACCCCTACATGCTATACATAGGGATATATATTAAAGACTGTATGGATATTAGAAACTCCTCCAAAGATTGTGTAAGTTGATATCTCATACTAGCCACCCACTTCTGTATTAGTAATTAGGTTAGCCTTATGAAAATGTAATTGATATGTACTTACTTAAGTTAGTAGATGCCATACTTTGTACCATGTACAACGTTGTGCAATAAAGTTATTATCACAGCGAAAGACAGTCTGTTAAGCCTAGTTATTTTTTCACAATACACAAAACATAACAGACCTTTATGGTATATTTATACCCTTACAAGCTAAGAACAAGATATGGTAATAAAGTGCAATAACACTGATACATATATATACATGCACAGGCTAGGTTTGGTATCTTAGTATCTTAAAGCATCTATAAGGTATAATAATACGTACAGGTAATATCAGTTAGCTAGGTTTTGGACATATACGAGCTCATTGCTTTCGATCGGCGTCGTTTTCGTCGTGACTTTCGACTTGACTTCTTCCGTGGAAGTCCATATCTTGATCTCAGTAGCTTTTCCCAATACCTTCTTACTTGAGCATACCGCGCGCAGAACAATTTATTCAAAGAGAAAGCTTCATTCCATCTGCTTTTCTCAACGACTAGATTTCCCCCCTGTTGCCTCTTCGCCGATCGACAGTAACTGTCGACGTCGTGGTTGACTCGCGTGAAGTGATTTACTTCTTCCTGAAAGTCGGGTCCTTCTTGGCGGATCTGCTTCTGAAGCGATTCTTTGAAGCGATTGTACAATAACGCATCCGCGTAGTTGTGTTGGTAGAACGCGCGTTTCATAGTATCTGTGATACGGGCCTTTCGTCGATACTTCTGCACCCTTGCGTTACCCGCACTGGTGTAAAGAATGTCGCGGAAAGTCCAACACATGCGCCGCTTGAGTAACACCAGGGAAGCCGGCAGATGCTCCAAGATGAGCACGGTCTGAAAATCGTTCTCGATGCCCCGTACGAACTCTTGAACCGCCGTGCGGTTGTCGTAATGTCTCTCAGCCAATCCCAAGTCACGAGACATGCAGTTCCTAGCGCAGGCATGGAAACTTGTCTTGTCTCTGTACAAAGGGTCCCAGTAACTCGGCCTGGAAAGGTAGGTGGTGACGTAAGCGTTCCTTCGGCGAGTTTTTTGCTTGAGTCCGGGAAATGTCTTTTCAAGGTGAAAGTACTGGAAGGCGGACTTGAGCCGGTCCAGTGGTTCTCGTAGAATGGCTACATACCTGGGTTAGAAACAAATAAATTAAAGGGAGCTCTAGAGTTAATTAGAAGCATCACAGCCCTGGTGACAGAGACACGACAATACAATGGAGTCTGACATGAACAGCCATTCGAGTTTCCCATCCCCAGGATGCATTGCGAATCCTGGGTGGTAAACCTCATTTGCATATCGCAGGAAGGCATCCTGTTGACGTTAAACAGCTTGTTCAGAACATAGAAAGAACACAAAAACTTCATTCTCTATTTGTTGTCAGATTCGATCCATAGTAATTTAATTAATGTTGAGCATAAAATGCCCCAACACCTCAAAACACGCAGAAAAACAAGCTGTTTAACGTCACCAGGATGTCCTCCTGCGATATGCAAATGAGGTTTACCACCCAGGATTTGCAATGCATCCTGGGGATGGGAAACTCGTGAATACACACAAGGATTGAACGATTTCTCAAAGCCCCCTTCCCCCATGTAGGGTTTCTAAAAAAACTAAATTAGGGTTTCTTTAAAAACCCTAAATTAGAGTTTCTAAAAAAAACTTGATTGGGGTTTCTCAAATAAAACTTTTTTTTAGGTACGGTTTCTAAAAAAACTATACTGAGGGTTACGTTTCTCCAAAGACATGTGAGATCGGATTTTTGCCGTGTTTAAGCTACATGTCTGTATCTGTATCAGTACAGCCGGTATAACCACCCTTCGGCGTAACACACCAGCTTCGCGCATGCACTCGGCGCGGCGGCAGCTAGCTATATCACACCGAACGACTTGTTACACTCATATCAATCTTTGCACATGTAATTGCAGGAGTTGTTTAAAGCTTTCTAGTGATGATGCCCCAACTGTGCTTGGTGGCAACGAGTTCCATTCTACGATAGTTCTGGGGAAATACGAGTTTTCGAACACCTCAATTCTTGTACCTTGTGTCGGGAGCCATGAGCTGACGAAAGCGTGTTCTGTTGTAGAAGGCGTGGTGAACGAAGATGTTCCAGCGTTTTCCGCCAGGGGGATGCACATAGTCGCCATCTCTGTGCGTCATAATAACATCGAAACAACGTCAGGCCATGTTGATTTGATTATATGGATGACACCCGCGCGCGTATGAATTTTCGGCCGTTTCCAAAAAAAAAAGTCGTACAAAATGATCGAATATATGTCGTATGTTGCAAAAAAAGTATTGGAAAATGATACTTAAGTCAAAGAATGCCGAAATCAGTTCGATCAGGAAAAGAAGAAAATGTGAAGAAATGAAAATGAAGATTTTATTATTATCTGTGTGTTAAGTCATTTTTTCAACCTCTATAACCACGTAGATTCCATAATGAAGGGAACTTTTTTTGCCAAACCTTTTTTATTCGCATGCTCGCATCAGTTTTGGGGTTTCCAGAGGATGTCATCGATATAATCAAATCAACATGGCCTTATGGGTTTTGCAGTTTCTCAACTTCTCCACTGCTATGTTTCACTGCTATAGCTATATTTGATATGCGTATTTATATACGAGGACGTGTATAATAGAAATATCTATATCAAAGACAATGATACCGATCCCATCATTGCTTTGGATATATATGATACCCCCCCCCCCCCGTCAAATAGATAACTAACTTTGAAATAACCACCGAAATGTATGTACATGTATGTTCAAAGTTAAAACTTTTGGTCCAACACAAAAAAAAAATTCTCTCACCTAGAGCTTATAGAGTCACCCTGACACTTTGTTTCACTTGACACTGTAAGGATTTTGGACACTGAACAAGACTATTTCTTGAGAGGGGTGAAGGAATTCGAAGCCATTTACATCAGGGCCCATCACCCTCCACTGAACCGTGACGGGGGCCGACATCGTCTATCAGATACCTTTGACCCAGTGTTGACGTCACACTTCAAAGAAGCCACGTGACAAGCTTCACTGGGTCAGTCTACTGAGGAAGACCAGAGTGACTGGTCGAAAGCTCTAGGTGAGAGAACTTTTTGTGTTGGATCAAAAGTTTAAACTTTGAACATGTAACTACGAACACAGATGAACTTTCATGATAGTATGTACATGTATGTGTTACTTACTTGATTCCTCCAACACCGCCAATGATGGAATATCCCGGTCTACTTGGCAGCGCAACAATCAAGTTATGTTCGTATCCAAATCGAAGGAGCATTTGGGATATCAAAGATGACCCACACTTGTGAATCTTCATGAAGGCCACGTTAAGATGAGGCTGACAAGTCCCTTGGCTGTTTGATATACTATTGTTGTTCATATTTTGGTCTGAAACATTATTGATCTGAAGTTCTCGAGCTTGCAGTCTTGAAATTTCCAGATAATTCTTCACAGGGCTGTCATACTGAGGAAAAAAGATGATATCTATAAGTCATAGGCCGGCGTTTTTTATGTTTACCGAAGGAAAACATATTGTTTTTGCTCAGTTTCCTCTTCCTCTTCTTTCCCAAACACTAACCTCTGATGACCTGATTTGTTGATGTCTGTCACCATGGTAACTGGTGTTGGGTTACATAATGTTGCAATCTTATAGTACGAGGGATTTAGACTCCTGTCTGACCATATATATGAATATGTTTGAGTGAAGGTGAACATTATGCATTTGCTTTGCAAACGTTTCTAGTTTTTTTTTTTGTAAACGTAAAAGTCTTTTGAAGAAAAGAGTCTTAGTTACTACGTATGCTTTTTCTATTATTTTAATAAAGAAATAATGTTAACGTTTTTTTTCTACAAACCTGTAGGTAGTACAACACTGTCCCCATGAGGAACATGAGAAGCAAGAAGACGGTCTGGAGTCTTCCGATCTCCATACTCAGGGAGTATTCAACCTAATGCACAACACATAGGGGTCCTAAAATTACAATGGTTCTTCTAAACTCAGTAAAGGACGTACATATACGTAGGGCCATGTTGATTTGATTGTATGGATGACATCTTCGGGGAACACCAAAACTGATGCGAGCGTGCGAATAAAAAAACAAGTTTTGCAACAAAAAGTTGCTTTCATTATGAAATCTACGTGGTCAAGAAGGTTGAACAAATGACACAGAGTATGGTATGACGAATAATCTACTCTTCACAGTTAATAGTTATTTCTTAACATTTTCGTCTTTTTCGTTTGATTTTGGCAGTCTACGACATTGGTATCGTTTTCAAAGAGTTTGCTTTTGTTTTTGCGAGTTACGGTATATATTTGCTCATTTTGCAACTGTTTTGTACGATTTACAGTACGGTCGAAAACTGTTTTTTGGAAACGGCCGAAATTCATGCGCGCGCGGATGTCATCCATATAATCAAATCAACGTGGCCTAGCCGATGTTATGAAGCCTGCGGGCCACACTGTTTCCAAAGCCTACACAGGCCAGTTCCTCGGCTCCAGGGTCAACATGCCCCCGAGGAAATTCTACCACAGCCCCCCTTAGTTAGACCCTGTCGTTCACAACCATGCTGGCTAACTCTGGGCCTCAGTACGTTATGGATTGTAGCTACTGTTGTGATCGATTTGCTGTTGTCACTGCCTTGTTGTAAACATGAACTCTTGTATTCGGAGACCAACAAAACGTAGTTTGCATTTAACGACTGTGGTGCAGTGTATAGCTCAAAGAACGTACATAGAGAACTACAGCCTGGAACAACAATTATTATGATTAATTGAATGTAATTCTAATTATATAATGAGTGACTTACCCAGCTGTTGTTGCGAAGCTTCGGTTGTTGTTGACACTGCCTTGTTGTAACGTGGGTACTTGTAGTCGGAGAGCAACAAAATGATGTTTCTTTTAAGACGTTCCGTCGGTGTATGTCTAAAGTGTGACGTCCTTGAACCCAAACCGGTCATTAGTTGGGCGGGTCGTTTTGAGTATCAGAGACAAGTAGTTGAATGACGTCAATCGACAACGTTTGAACCGATGGGGACTCCTGATAGTACATACAAACATAATACAGGACCTAGTGGTAGCGCACTCAAGTTAGGAACTTATTTTGACACCACCACAAAATGAATACATATGTACAAAATTAAATTAAGCGCAAGTCCGGTTCCCTAACAATGATTGAACAATGCAAGGACACTATTACAAATATCAAAAGGAAAAAAAATGGCCTTTAAAAATGTTCTGTTGAAGTGATGAAGTTCTGGGTAAGTGATAATATGTTGGAGTTGACAACTGATGAGTACATACTACCACGGAGTAGAAGGGATCTTTTATCGTTGTAAAATCTGTTGGGTGCAAATCTAGGACAGTGTTCTAGCGAGGCCTTTTTAGCATAGGTGCCCCCTATGCTCTGATTTTGTACCCCTAAGCTATAATTTTGACCCCTATGCTGTCTTTCAACCATAATAGGGGTGTTTTGTACGCATAAGCCGTACGTGGATCCTGTCATTACTGTACCAACCTGCACCGCATAGGGGTGTTTTGGGAGGGAGAACCTTCATAAATCTTGCAAACCAAACGTTAAGCAAAAATCCAGCGAAAACCGTGAAAATCCAGCGTTCTGATCAGGTGAAAACAGTTGCCACCCCCTCACCACCCCCGAAAAGTAACCGCCGCTCTAGCCGCGCTTGTACGAGTAGAAACTTGCCTCATGATCAGATTTCTTCTTGGTAGATTGTTCGTGAAGCGTATTTGATTGTTCAAACGCGTACGATTTTAACAAATTGACCCCCTGGCACAGGGTCTAGTGTTTAAACATATCACAAAAGCAAGGGGCTTACAGTGCACGAAAAGTTGGATTTACCAAAGGTTGTAAATTTTTACTATGTGATGTTTACTATGTACACAGTATCTGGCTTTACAATGGTAGTAAATAAAGGTCAAGTGCAGTAATTTCCTTTACAACCCTTGTTAAGTCCGGTATCACCGTACTTGACTTTTATGTACTACCATTGTTAAGTTCAGAAGTGTTTTTTAAAGAAAACAAAGTAAACATTACCCAACTCTACCGGTATTGGTAAATCTAAGTTTTCGTGCAGTGAACTAGTTGAGTTTTTATCTGTAGATTGATACGTATGCGTACCACCAGTTACACAGTGTTTGGTCGCGATCGGGACATGTTAAAACGTATTTAGAAAGCTATACCAAGGAGTAAACATTTACAAATTGGTAACCAAACTTCCCCGTATACATGTGTCAGCGCTTCCTGTGTCATGAAAACTTGGCAGTAGTCAGGGGCCGCCATGCGGAATTGTTATGTATTACACATGTTTGTCTGTGTGTTTGTCACTGTGTCTGTGTGCGTCGTTACGCTGTCAAAGGTCACCTGGCGGCTTCCCTTGGTATTGCATTTACAAATAGCTCTAAATAATCAATGGAGTAGAGGCATGACTTCTCTGAACTGTTTTTACACTTTTATTTCATGGTAAAGCCAGCCTTCATAAACTTGAACTTGCAGTACAGTGATGTAGATTGTTCGTAAAAGCATAAGAGTGAACTGGGAATGTTTCTATTTAAATTTAGATTGATGCCCAAATAAGAACAACTTGTTACGACTACATACGTACATATCCTACGACTTAGAAAACACTACAAACTTATTCTAAATTCAAAACTAACACTTTTGAGAACCACCTTATTTCAATTCAAATGTTGAAAGGTAATACATGTATTTGCAAAACTAATGCTGAATGTTTACATTCACGTGGTCTAAGACTAGAAAATATTCTTTCACTCAAGCACATTTCATGGATGTACATGTACATGATGACGAGCACCTCCACCTGTCTTCCAACTTGCTACATACTATAACCCAACAACACGGGTTGTCTGCTACAGCACCAGTTACCATGGTGACAGACGTCTGGTCCACGAGATTGAGATTCACTGACATTGAGATGCATACAAACTTGTTTTGTGCACAATGTTAACATTTTCTATGCATTCTGAATGTCTAATTATTATACGCTTACCTTATGTGTAAGTTACTTACTTTATTGTAAGTAGAATAATGCATTTACAAGCAATTTGCCATGCACTAGTATCAGCTGTCGACCAAGAAAATTGATTGACTGTAGTAGGTGTAGTAGACTGTGGTAGTGCAATCAGGTGTTAAAGTAACACAAAGCGTTCTCAGGACAGTAAAACCGGATTTTCCAAGTCAACGTTATTGTCATTTTTAAGTTTAACCTATCCTATCCAGTAGCATACTGATATCTGCGAGGCAAAAATGCGACGTCGCCGACGAAAACGGTTGCTTGTTTCGTATCTCAGGCTAGTTCTGATTATTTATTGGTGGTACCAGAAAAAAAAGGGACTCCTCACGTAGCTTACTTAATACGGGCTGTTTCGAAAGCGATTCAAGTATGACATGGCAAAAATGTGCTACGAAATGGCAGTAAATGTCAATATCAGACAGATTTGTTTAAAGTTAAAACTTTTGGTCCAACACAAAAATTTCCCTCACCTAGAGCTTTCGACCAGTCACTCTGGTCTTCCTCATCGTCTACCAGATACCTTTGACCCAGTGTTGACGTCACACTTCAAAGAAACCACGTGACAAGCCTCACTGGGTCAGTCTACTGAGGAAGACCAGAGTGGCTGGTCTAGGTGAGAGAATTTTTGTGTTGGACCAAAAGTTTTCACTTGAAACACGTAACTACCAACACAGTTGAACTTTCATGATAGTATCAGACAGATTTCCTCATCCAGAATTTGTTTTGAACTGTCGATCTGAAATTGCATTTGTTTCTTCCTTTAACGTACCACCTTGCTCAGAGTATACGGCACCACCAACTCTCCCCCTCCCCAAATGTCTCCTGGATCCACTTCAGGCGAGTGTCCATCGAAGCCTTGATGCCGGCCTTGGCGTCCACTCCGGGCTGCGGGAGGAAGGTCGCGGTGTACTTGGCCTTCGTCTTCTTCTCACTTATCTTCTGGACTTCTACCTAATAAAGTAAAGATACATGAACAATACATCAATACAGTTAACAGTTATGATGTTCTGTATAGCATACGTAGTGGGGAAGGAATCTATTATCACCTCCATGAAAAATGGGAGTATTGTTTTTGGATTGTCTCTGTGTGTGTTCGCCCGCGTGTGTGTGTGTGTGTGACTGTGTTTCCACTATAGAATGGAGACTTGCTATACGACATTCTAGTCGACTAAACTCCTTTACGATTTTTTTCCCTTTTTATTGCATCGCAAGCTACTTCTCGATACATAGTTTTATTGGGTTGTATTTACACAATTGTAACACAAGAACCATTCTGCATGGATGCTAAATCCAGTGATCTGAATACCACAAGGGAAGAGGAGAAGAGGCCAAGAAATGACTGGGAAGAAACTGTCACGAGAGATCTTGAGGGGATGGGTTTCAGTTGGGAGCAAGCGAATAAGGATGTGCTAGACAGAGGAGAGAATAAAGCAGTCGTGGCCAGCTTCGTCGACAAATGAGAGCGGCGATGACGACGACTTTGTGTTGACAAGAAAAGGGAAAAAGATGCCCACGTACCTTGCCACGATAATGCAGTACGCCCATGTTGTCATTCCTTCCGAACTCGTACTCCAGACTGTTGGGGTTCTCGCTCCCCAGGACCAGACGTTCCTCCATGAAACACGGGCCGAAGAACACCTTCCTCCGCAGGTCGTAGTTGGGCTGGTCGGCGACGACTTCCACACCGGTGGCGTTCATGACCCAGGCGTACCCGGCCCAGTCATTCACGGCGTCCCACAGCTTCTTCATGGGGCAGTCAACGTCAATGTCAAAGTGCAGCACCTCACCCTTCTTGTCAGCGACGATGCAAAGGATCTGGAACAAATTTACAGATCCGTTAACACTCTTTAAACACATGATGACCAGCCCCTCCAGCTTCCTGCCACTTTGCTACATAATAACCCAACACCACATAAGGTCCAAGACGTGCACAGCACTTCACCCTTGTTGTCAGCGATGGTGCAAAGGATCTGAAACAAATTTACAGATCGGTTTATTCCCACTTTTTAAACACATGAAGACCAGCCCCTCCAACTTCCTGCCACTTTGCTACATTAATGTAACCCAATATTGCATAAGGTCAAAGACATGTACAGCATTTCACCCTTCTTGTCAGCGATGATGCAAAGGATCTGAAATAAATTACCGATCCGCTTATTCCCACATGAAGACCAACTTCCCGCCACTTTGCTACATGATGTAACTCAACACCGCACAAGGTCAAAGACATGTACAACAGCTTCACCCTTTTTGTTAACGATGAGAACAAATTACCGCTCTTTAAACATAATTTTATCCATATATGTAACGACCTAGTGTCCAACATGCATCTATGCATGAAAACTGGACCCTCTGGCCAGCTCTATTCGTTTTAGGACGATTTCTACTATTTATTTAGCCGTCAAACGAGTCTGGTGGAGTCTAAATAATGATGACCAACCCCTCCAACTTCCTTCCACTTTGCTACATAAATTCAACCCAACACCGCATAAGATCAATGACATGACGCCAGTACATTGACCTTATGTGTTTGTAGAAGGTGACCAGGAAACAGAGCAAAATCAATTTCCTTAATGATAATATTAATTTAATAATAATAATAATACTAGTATATGATCACACACCTCATTGATGCGGTTGCGCAGCATGTACTTTGTAAAGGCAATGTGGTCCCTCCTCTTGTCAAAGTCCTGGAGGGCGACAATTCCCGTGATGCTCATCGTCACTTTGGCAGTCTCACTTGTGTCGTCGTCCACCTTCAATGAGAGAAAAGATATTCATTCTGGACAACGTGAAACTGAATACAACAAGAATTCGGAGATTACCAACCTCCGAGGAGGTATTTAAACAGAAAATGTGTGAATTTATTGGCACAACCAAAGAAATTTGCCTGACGTACTTTTACGTACAGGACTTAGTAAGACAGAAACCTTACTGTGAACAAACTATACATATTATGCGTGCCGGGTAGACATGGCCATCACTGCCTCTCAGCCAACATAACTTTCTTCCAACTTGACCTTAATGTCAATCTTCTGTTACAAACCCCGCTTCCCTACACTTAAAAGTACTTCTTGATACACATTATTTATAACATGTCCTTACCTTGACAGTAGCTATGTATGTGGTGAAGAGAGGGTTGCTGCCCAGCATGGCGATGGCCCACGTCTTGGTGTCCTCGTCCTTCTTTATAAGCTCTTCTTGGGTCCTTCCGCCTAAGAAGTCGAACTCGATCACTGTCCCCACCCCGCCGTCTCCTATGGATTCATAGATGTATGAAACAAACCAACCACTATGCTAAATGTATTAAAGGGAATGAAACACTGCCTTTATCTTACCAATTTGATACTGTCTTGCCACTTTGATACTGTCTTGCCACTTTGATACTGTATTGCCACTTTGATACTGTCTTGCCAATTTGATACTGTCTTGCCAATTTGATACTGTCTTGTCAATTTGATACTGGCTTGCCAATTTGATACTGCAGCTGGCTTGCCAATTTGATACTGTCTTGTCAATTTGAAACTGTCTTGCCAATTTGATACTGTCTTGCCAATTTGATACTGTCTTGCCAATTTGATACTGTCTTGCCAATTTGATACTATCTTGCCAATTTGATACTGTCATGCCAATTTGATATTTTCTTGCCAATTTGACACTATGATCTTGCCAATTTGATACTATCTTGCCAATTTGATACTGTCTTGCCAATTTGATACTGTGATCTTGCCAATTTGATACTGTCTTGCCAATTTGATACTGTCTTGCCTATTTGATAAAGTGAACTACGTACTGCCTTGTAGCCACCAAAGGTCTGGTTGGAGACTGCAGTGACCTGCAGGAACTGTTTGGGTAGACCTTCCTGTCAATCTGCGGTTATGAAATTCCCCCTTACTTCCTGCCACTCTATTGCATTCAAATACCTACGGAGGCAAAAGAAACACACACACACACACACACACACATGCACACACGTACACACACACACACACACACACACACATGCACACACGTACACACACACACACACACACAGAAGATCTGTCTTACCCTTGACAGTTGTCATGTTCTCGTGCATGCCCACATACTCCTGCAGATGGAAGTAGTCATCGAACCCGGACCAGTACACATCCGCTGACACCGGAACTACTTCTGTATGGGTCACCGTGATCTCCTTCCCAAACTCCAGGTCATCTATATAGGGAAAATGTAGAACAACAATACATGCATTAACTTAACTACATTGTGTTTTTTTTTCTTCCACATAAAAAGATACAGAGATTGAACCCACCAGGTCATAATACAATAATAACGGAAAATGATACAGAACATAGAAATAATAATCAATAATTTTTGTCTGTCATCTGATTATAATCATAATGATATCAACTCATTTCAAGTGACATAGAAATGATAATCAAATGAATAACTACATTGTTGCCAATACTCTGATCGAGTCATGTTATTGTACATTAAATTTAAAGAGATACTGTACAGTATCATTACTACATTACTATCATTATGCTAGACGGACATTTTAATACCAAGCAAGCAGCAACTGAGTACATACTGTTGCTTCCTTGGTATTAAAATGGCCGTCTAGCATAATGATTTATGCTGAACATACACCAGAAGAGCGGCGAGTTTCTTGATTGAATTAAATGGTGCTTGTTGTCTCCAGAACCATACCAATCTACATGTAGTTCTATGCCTGAATGGATTAGGGCTAGGATGCTTTTGGACGGTTTTGGATTAAGTCTTCGGATACTAGTATTGAAGAATGTAAATTTTCCCAGGCACGGTAGCCTCTATATCAGGCTTGTGGAGGCGGCTGGAAAGAGTAGAAACCGGCCAAATAGAGAGATAAGCATGCCAAGGGAGTGTCCGGCGAAATGTTCTCTCAACGGAAAAACTCCCTTGGCATGCTTATCTCTCTATTTGGCCGATTTCTACTCTTTCCAGCCGCCTCCACAAGCCTGGTAGAGGCTACAGGCACGGTTCTGTATAGTCTCAGCATATCCAACAACGTAAATTTAGGCACGGTGGTTCTGGATACGCATGGGCTTTCCAGGATCGTGCCTGAGCATGGTTCTGGATAAAGCTCGGTTCTGGATACAATAGCTCATAGCTGTGTTTATACCTTGCGGGATCGTCACGGTTTTCAGGAATTCTGGAAGGGCCTGCGTCATGCTTGATGATGTCACTCAAATTATCTGAAGGCGGCAAATATCTGGAAGACCTAAGAAACATAAATAACATTTCAAATGTTATCTATTAATTCGTTTGTACAAAAATATCACACATGAACTGAGATTATACATGCGTATAGGAGCAACGTTCAATTGTTTTTTTTTATAGGAAATCTTGTAAGAGTGAGGTCAAGGCCAATGCCAGATGGTAGCTAGATGACCTAAGTTCCGATGGGTGCTCTTACAAAGTTCGTAGAATTAGCCGCCGATGTTGGAGTTGTACGACCCGAAAGAAAGACACAGGAGCCGACAGCTACGTGGAAACTCTGTATTGTCTTCTCTGAACTGACTGAACTGAACTAGCTACAAGAGTACACAGGCTTTTATATATTTCGCCCTCCTACACACAAATTTCTTGGAACAAGTTGGATTCTCTGTAGTATTAGTCATCGTGAGTCATATCCTCTCCCTAAATTCTTAAGACATTACCGGTCAGCCCCTTGTATCCCCAAATATGGTTATAGTCAAGCAGTCGGGCTCCGACCCCATGGGAGGTTAGGCCATTACTGGTGTCACTCAAAGGTCGCCTACACTTTCCCAGACGACAGAAGGGTTCCGAATTCAATGACTCACGGTTGCACCAGGAAATTGTACCATAGTGCAACAGAAACTAATATTATATCTATATAGCAAAAATTATAACATATCAGGTCAGAGCACCCTATTACATGCTCCCCTTTCAAATTAGAGCCGTCCCTGGCGACACAGTTACAAACGTGGTTAACATTAGTACAAAACTAGAGAACATACAAAAAGTATTATTACCATATAGCAAATCGGAATGGTCTACGTGTTATAAACGGTTATAATAGCAACGCTTAACAAATGCAATAGAATATACGATCGTCTATTTATATACAAGTTGCAACAGAACTCTAAACACTTTCAAGTTTTCAAAGTTCATTCATCTTCAAATTCATCTAGAGTTCATGATTCTTCATTTCATCTTCCATTTCTTCTTCGGAGTCGTCCTTGGTCGTCTCGACTCGTCTGCGCCGATGCACTCGTCCCCCTGCCCGTCTTCATACTGCACGCCCTTACCAAAACAGCACATGGCCATGTGGACTTTGTACTGATGGGTCATCTACTAGTGGAAGAGGCTCCGCCCAGCCCTCCCCATGTGGCCTACCTCATTATGTGATATCATCACCAAGCCAAATAGATCTAACCGTTTCCAGACTACTTCTTAGGGAAGCGAGTGTGGGAGCCCCGGCATACAAGTAGGATGGTACCCAGGCTAATCGTGAGTCATATCCTCTCCCTAAAGCCCCTTGTATCCCCAAATAGGGTTATAGTCAAGCAACGCTTAACCCATGGGAGGTTAGGCCATTACTGGTGTCACTCAAAGGTCGCCTACACTTTCCCAGACGACAGAAGGGTTCCGAATTCAATGACTCACGGTTGCACCAGGAAATTGTACCATAGTGCAACAGAAACTAATATTATATCTATATAGTAAAAATTATAACATATCAGGTCAGAGCACCCTATTACAATCTTACAAAACAAAGTTTTATATGTAATGAAACAAGAGGTCGATGATTTCATACGTTCGTCATGTATAAATTTGGGTTGTGCTGCATGCTGTATAATAGTTTGACATTTATTTTGCTGGTATGTAAACCAAAGGATGTGTGTGATACGTAAGTCGGAGTACAGAAACAGTTGCACGAGTATGGACATTCTCCAACCGAAACAGAAAAGCAGTACAATCCAAAAGTAGCCAAAGAGAATCAAACTTTCGTTGGGATCTTGGAAAACAGATCAAAGATGCCTAAACCAACAGATCTAGAGCCAGAACAATAGGTGACGCACTGATCAGAAGTCACAAATTTCCATGTACATGTACTTAAGTCATGCCCAGACACATTTTCTGTATATCTAGGCCAATGCATTTATAATGCCATGCAAAAAAGAAATCTTAGAATAGCTGTATAAGTAGTCACTACTTTATCAACTACATGTATATAGTGTAGCGTATCGTAGCGTTTATAAGTATAATTGTAGCATTCCTGGCAAGTAACTTAGTCTACACTCTGTTTAGTAGTCATAGAACATGTTTTGTACAGGTACAACTGCTCACTGTACCCTTCATAAGTATAGTTATACATTGTACTTATAAATTAGCGTAATGTAGAACGTACGTGTAGAGTTGAAATATTTTCTAGCCAGTAGTTCTTTATAACACTCTGTCAGACACAATAATCGTTGACCATATATATGTAGCATTATGATAGACTCATACCAACTAGTAACTTTATTATTTGTCAATCCCCGTGACAATCGTTGTGCAATAAACTTTGACTTGTACTAGTAATTTGGATGCAAATCAGGTGCCAAGACAACAAAATGGGCGTTGCACACGGATATGTCACAAGTCTGTCACCCGACTGAGAGCACAAAGACATTGGGCAGTTCACAATGCTTTGAAGGGTGAGAAAAGGGCAAGGTAGTAGTGAAAAACTAAATGTAAAACCATGTACAACATAGAGCGATATACTAATCTTGCAGATTTCGAATTACGCTCAGCCATTAGCAAAATTAGAGTTAGCGCCCATCCTCTGGAGACAGAGAGAGGCCGGTATAGAAGGCTACCTGTATGTGAAATAATTTCTAAATATTGTACAAAGGCTGTGGAAGACGAAATACACTTTATCTCAAACTGTTCCTTGACTTGACATAACATCGCTCGAAATGAGTTGACTGTTCAAACTTCTACAATTTATCCCAATTTTACTAAACTTACAAAGAAAAAACTATTCTTCTTTAACTTCCCCAACTGACCCACTAATTTTGGAAAAGGTGGGACATTACGTTTTCCAAGGTTTAAAAAGAGAAGTCAAACTTGCTTAGACATAGTTTTACATCTACCTTTATCATGTAGATTTTAGTTATTTTATACTTTTATTGCTCTTTTATGTGTGTAATTTGCAATTAGCTCCCGAACACGAATTTGCAATAAACATCTCAATAACAAATACAGCAAGGGAGGGGTGGAGGAACAGACACATTGGAAATGCCAATGGAAACGTAGTAGTGAATAACAAATATAGCAAAATTAATTAATTAGTTAATTAATTAACAAGCAAGGGAGGGGTGGAGGAACAGACACAGTGGAAATGCTAATGAATGAATTACAATAGGGCCAAACCAAGCTTCAAAGTTTTGGGCTAGGAAAGTAGCAAATTTGGACGCAAATGCTAGAGCGCTCGGAGCAAGAGTACTAGAAATGCTACCGATCCTACTAAGGAACAATGCAGCAATTTGGAGAAATTATGCCGGTGGGAAACTTTGCACACAAGGGCTAGGTAGAAAGGGGAATGTCGGCGGCCAGATCAAAGAACATATTTACAAGACAAAGTGGTAAAGCCCGCGCTACCAACTACTAGTAGTTGGGAATTTATGTTGCAAAGTCTGCGTTTCTCCTAGTAGACGTTCCGAAGCCGGTAGGGCAGCAAGTTTTGAGGGTACAGGAAACCGACAACGGCCGGACAAGCTAACTAGCTAAGTAAGGGTCTAGAGAAGGCCGAAAAAAATTAACATATGCAGCACGTAACATAGGTAGGCAGAAACACAAACAGGTACTATATATCAAAAGCAGAGCTTGGAATGTTGAACAATTCACAAAGTATAACATAGGGCTGTAAAATACTAGTATCGTTATGCGGCAGACCGGCATGGGAACCAATGTAAAAATAAAGTCTAGCAGTGTTTGGTTTCTCAGTGTCTACATATCACTTACTATAAACCAGTTCGATTACTTCTGCGAAGCCGTGTTTATTGATCCATATGTTTACCCGACTAACAGGTATATGGTCGAATGGTTTAACACTTACTTACAGGGAGAGTTACTATAGGTTTAGGGTACAATACAGGTGAGATAATACACTGTACAATCTACTAATCTACGGAGAGCTACAACTAGACATGTACACGTACCTGAGTCCTGGATCACGAACTGACTGAGAGATCAATCGCCACTTCCAAGCTCAGCTAGTTCTTCACTGATTGGTTACTCTCACTAACCAATCAGGGCCTACCTAACACACTAATATATGCAAACGTCACTTTAATGGTCACCTACTAGTTACACCGGCTTCAACGCATTCCGACTTCAGTCTGAACGCAATGTGACTTCACCATCTAGATATGCACACTAGACACGCACTCAAATATTGCTAGATCACTTACAGCTGATATTCTTTAAAATACAAATTGTCGATAATACAAACTGTACATCTACATCCACACACACATCCACACACACGCGCGCGCACATACATGTAAACACTCACACGCAAACACACACACACACACACACACACACACACACACACACACTTGATAATAAAGAAATAATTTTATTTTCTAATTAGTTATTACAAAAACAAATAAGTGTACATTGTCTCCCTTAGCCACATTATACATTACAACTCAATATCCATATTTTATAGTCATCATCATTATATATTATTAAATACATTATATATTATCACACATTATCATCATTATATATTATAAAATACATTATATATTATCATAGAAACAAATAATCTAGACAATCTAATGTAAAATATATGAACCAGAATAGACTCCATGTTGGAAAGGCGTGCTTCTAAGTACTAAAGGAAAGAGATGTTTGGTTCAATGCTATGAAAAATTCTGAACAAATTCTAAACTGTTTAATAGAAAAAATTCAGATATGTCTTTCAGTATTTTAGAATGCTACAATTTTGCATATTATATGGCATAGAAACGGACCATGGCTCATGTAAAAATGTTGTGCACGTCCCGCAACCACCTATTGTATTATCGCACGGCATACACCAAACAAAACATTGTTGTGGATATTTGAAAGATAGTGACTTTTGGTCATGATCACGAAACGTCAATACAAGGTGGTTATATCTAAAGAACAGAAAAACCTTCTATAGTCGACGCAACAAAGGACAGCTTCAAGCACAATAGAGATATCTAACGAGTTTTGACTTAAAACGGTCCAGCGTACAAATAGATATTCTTTACGATTCAATGTCTATTACGGGATTTTTTTGGGGGGAACAGGCGGGGTCGATTAACCCCAATGCCCCAACCCCAGGCTATCCTGAAGGCCTGTCACGTATCAGAGTCCTACAATGTTCCCTGGCCAGTACATCAACTTTGGATGGTTTGTACAAGACTACGTGCACCACCAAAGGACCTTCTAAAGAAGCCGAGACTAAACTTTGGGCGGCACCATGAGGGTTTACGCCGGGTGTATGTTTCTCCTATTGGAGTTAGTGACTGTTAACTCAATCCAGGCCCAAGGTAAGAAAAACTAGGATTCAAACCTGCGGCACAGCCGAACTCAAACCTTGTCGAACCACAGCCGACCTTGCTCCCGGCCCGACCTACTCTACTCCCAACCACGGTTCAGGGAGTTTTGCAGTATCCGGGAGGTTATATACGTCTTTGTGTGACAAGGGCAATTAGTTGTTTAGTTATCACTGTTTGTAAGTTGCATGGCTATTGTGGCACATGTTTGTATGTGCCACAATATGTGCTTTATGTATGTTTGACCTCAGCAGTTTAAAAGGGATATTCCGTTCCAGAATAGCCTGTAATAGGCTGTTATGTTTGAATCCAGTTTGTTTCGTCAAATTTACCATAAGGAATCCTGAACGCAGATAGAACATGGTAGCGATCGAGTTCTTGAAATCCACGAGTACCCTTCCTACAATCCGAGAGTTCAAAGTGTGTTGTGTATTTCGTGGGGGAATGATTCCAAGTGTTGAAATCTGTTTCCCGAGGGCCTATAGTCCTCGAACTGTTTGTGCATCTTTCTATATGTTAGATAGTCAATCGGATGCTTTCCTTAGCTTATAGGCCCTACCGTCAGGAAAAGACTTGTACCCAAAGTCGGTCATTGAATTCTTAGGTGGTTTCGAGAATTCGATCCCCTGTACTGATCCCCCCACCCACCACACACACACATTAGGCGATAGTGTCAAACCATATCTGTTTTGTCTCCAACAAGCGTAAATTTAATTAGAGTTGATTGGGACAAGGACGTTTCTTCCCTCCGGCAATGAACAGACTGTCCTATCTGAGTCATCTGCACACAATGCACGGTGACGTCTTTTAGTTGTTGGCTAAGGGCCCGGTGTCAAGCCAAATCTCTCCCCTGCAATGAGGACCCAATTTGCATGATTTATATCAACCTGAATGCTCTTTTTGGTCTCAGTTCCGAATGTCAAATGTACTCTCATCATAAAATGTAGTGGATTTATTAGATTTCTCCATTCCTTACGTCGTGCTTTGCATGATTGCCATTTAATTATGTCAAACGTAAACAAAACCTACCTTTGACCCCCAATTTCTCAGGTATCCATCCCTCCAGGGCTTGCCAGACCAAACAACTCAGCTCAGTCCCTACGCCAACTAAGCTGGTGAACTGAACAAATTTTTAGAACAAATTTTTAACCTAAAAAGTCTACAAATTGGACCAAAAGTTTCAAAGAAAAGGAGCATTTTCCTTGAAACGTTTGGTCCAATTTGTAGCCTTTTTTGGCTATGAGAAACAGGTGACTTTAGACGTTTTTAAACAAATGTGAAGATAGAATGTCAGGCGATTTTTTAAAAATAATTTCCAACATGTAATCACAAGACGTGGTGACGGCACACTCAAGTTTTTTTCAACTTATATTAATGCCGCCACCAACACAGGGGACAATACAATACTCATTTTCACCTGAGCGAAGTGAGGAAAGTCGTGTAAAGTGCCTTTCCCAAGGGCACAAGATCGGTGTCATGTCAGGACTCGAACCCGGGACCTCTAGGTTCCGAGTCGAGCACTCTGCCGCTACGCCACCCGACCCCACACAATCAGGCGATTTGAACTCAGGATAATTGCGTTCTGAGCTAAACGCCAGTTGGGCACAAGACGCCTCTCCCACCAGAGACAGAAATTTGCTTCCCCGCTGCACAAGTGATCAGGATAGCATACTATTAGGTTATATCATCTTTAAGCGTGTCCTGATGGCTACTCGCATCTCTCACATACACACTGGTGTTAACGTGCCTCACGACAGAGAGCTCGAGGATACCTACAACGACGTGATTTGTTTTATTTTCAAAGTCGCTGTACTTAGACATTTTAACTAGGCCACAAGCCAATGCATTGTACGCTGATTAAATAGAACATTTTATATATACTTGAATGTACAGATCCAACACAAGCCAGTTCTACAGATACATATACATTATTTGCGACAACGCCACCGACTGTGCTTTGTGACAACATTACTGTACTGAATGGAAGCTCCGGCAGCTTTACCTCACCTGGTTACCCAGAAAACTACCCTGACGACGCTTACAGTTGTTGGCAGATATCTGTCAATACCGGTGACTTCATCGTCCTCCGGTAAGCCATTGTGTTTGTTCATTACCTCCATGAAAAATGGAGGTATTGTTTTTGGTGTGTCTGTGTGTGTGTCTGTCTGTGTGTCAGTGTGTGTGTGTGTGGTGTGTGTGTGTGTGTGTGTGTGTGTGTGTTTGTGTTTCAATGTGCACATTTGTAGTCAGCATAACTTCATAACTCCTTTATGGATTGTGATGTTTTTTGGTATGCTGATAAGTCTCAGGAATACAAAGGTCAAGGTCAAATATGGGCCTCCTGGTGGATGACCTTGGTACTGCAGCAGAACTTCCGGTTTTTGTATCTTTTGTCCTGAACAAGCTATGGTCTTGACTTTTTTGTGACAGGTAGCTTTTCCTGTCAGGAATAAGTGGTGTGGGTTTGGTCCCCCTAGCAGCTTGTTCTGGAACTACAGGGGACTTTCTGGCGAAATCTTCTAAAGTCAATAAGTCCAGATAGGATAGTTCAATTCTAACAGTTATATAACTAAATATTACAAAGTTGGTTGGTTTTTTATTATTTTTACTTAGAAAATTATACTAGCATCTGCTCTTGAGGCTGCCTTTAAGTTGCACTTCTGTTTTTCATAGGTTCAATGAGTTTGACCTTGATGGCGATAGTGATGACTGTTATTGGGACGGCCTAACCGTATATGACGGTCCCAATTCAAGAGCGCCGCGTCTGGCCAGGGTATGTGGTTCCTCTGCTGGAACAATCTTTACAACAGGCAGCAAGGCCTATGTGGTCTTTAAAACCGACGATTACGTATACGATTACGACGTGCCCACAGGATTTTCTGCCACCTTCACTGCTCAGAGCAGGCATAGTAAGTTTGTTTTATAGTTAACAGCGCTTGATCATTACACAACAGAAGACTATGTATATGTAATTTATGATTATTCTGCACTAATATGTAGAAAGCTCTAACTTTCACTGCAAAATGTGTTCTGGGCAACGATATGATTAAGATGGTGATGGTGGTTCAATGTAAGTAGGGGTATTTTTAGTACTAAGGTGCAGCTGTTTTGTAAGGTACATGGGTATAATATCTCGTGCTGTGGACATGCTAGGGTCTTGATTTTTGAGTGGGACATAGATGCTTGGGCAGTAAGTATCTGGTATGTTTTTCAGTAAAGAAGCTGCTTTGTGGGAGTTGCTGCGGTCATTTTTATGACGGAATGTGACTAGACGGGATAACTTTTGCTGTTGTGGATGTTTTTATACATTTTTTGTAGGTAGCTTGTAGTGTGGAAAAAGAAGGTTAAGTTCGAATATTTGGGCATTCTAGTGGCTTTCGAAGGTATTGCAGCGGCACTTTTAAGTTGGAGATGTAGCTTCAAATGTAGACCAAGGTGGGGGGGGGCAGATGTTCTTCTGGTCTTGGTGTGGTGATTCAAACAGATGTTCTTCTGGTGTACGTGTTTCTGTACTCCGACTTATGTATCACAAAATCAAACTATATGAAGCAGCACACTTTCTGACTACCCAAACTTATACCTGACGAATATTGTTCCTGTTTGTAGCGTGTCTTCCTGGCTACTTGTACCTCTCACATACACGAAGGTGTTACCGTGCCTACGACAGAAGTAATTCCTACGGCGAGGCATTGTTGATCTGTCAGGCTGAAGGCGGCACTCTGGCCATGCCTCGGGACAACATTATCAACGACTTCCTCATCGATTTGAAGAACGGCGCAAACATTGATGATTATTTCTATATCGGACTGGACCGGAAGGATGGATCATGGAATTACGTCGATGGCGGAGATCTACGTTACACCGACTGGAGCGTTGGACAGAGGCTTTCAGGTGGAAACAGAAAATGCGCGGCGTATTTCCCTGGAGCCATTGTGACTGATATATACACTGACATTGACGATGACTATGACAATGTCGATGAAGATAAATGGAGCACCGTGACCTGTTCAGAACGCAACAGTTTCATTTGTGAATATGGTAGGTAACTCGTATTCGAAAACTCCTTAATATGTGGGCACGTAAGGTTTCCGTACATGCCGTTTGGTTAAGATCAACATTTATCGTAATATAGTTGTATGTAATGCATGTATGCAAGTAATTGTTTGTATCTGTACTTTTATATTTCTAATATATAAATATGTACACCCAGATTCCCCAAGCGGCATAACCCTGTCCCTGAGCTCAAACCCAGTGTGTGAGAGCCAAAAGGAGGACGTTCAGCTGACCTGTAGCGTGGAGTCAGGAACCACACCCGTCACCTACACCTTCAACCGAGGTACTACACAACTGGCGGCAGGCAGTTCCAACAGCCTGACTCTGTCTGATGTCAACAGAACCCAGGCAGGGACTTACAATTGTACCGTCAGAAATGTGCCGGGGGAGGACTATGCACAGACAAGCACTGCAGAGACTCTAGTGGTGCACTGTGAGTACAGCAAAGACCTGTTGACAATCTCTGATATATATATACAACACTTTACTAGATTCTTTTAGAAGTGACTTTATACGTATTTGTCTTGTATAGATAGAAATCGTGAACTGCACGTAATGTGCTGTTGGAAAATAACCGTTTAGATATTTGAACTTTATTTTCGCACATCAACTGCAGTTTAGGATTTGCTTTGATTTTTACACCGGCTCATTATGTATTCATTTGCTTCTCTTCGAATTCAATGTTGTTGGTACCTTGTTTTTGTTTTTGTTGATGTTACCTTCATCTGTGTGTGTGGAGAGGAGAGGACCTCGATTAGTAAAGAATACCAGTCCTCCAAAAATAAATGTGAATGAGATAAAATGAAATGAATAGGAAACATTAAGACTATACAACAACGCGTTTTAACTATGATTAAAGTCTCTTTGCCTTGTCTCCCTCCCACAGACCTTGATGACCCCCAGGTGACCCCCAGCAGCTCAGTGACTGCAGTAGAAGGCAATGACCTGAGGGTTGTGTGTAGTGCAAGATCCATCCCAGACTCCCCCACCTTACAGTGGAGTAAAGGAGGCAGCAATGAAACTGCTGGAGCAACGCTGAGGAAAAACCCGGTCAGTCGCAATGATACAGGGACGTACACTTGTACAGCAACAAACACGTGTGGGACACGGTCTAGTTCAACATCTGCGCAAGTCGTATTGGATGTTCATTGTAAGTAGAATATTTTCAGTCGCTATGCATAGAACTTTAGGCATGTTTGAGACTTCCAGTCTTTCTCTAAATTTACTTTCTGCCACCTAGCCTTCCTAGTATGTATTGTTTAGGATTGCATTTATTATTATTGGCAAGAATACTCATACCATATCAGAAGGGAAAATCTTGAGCTCCACAATTGAGGAGAATGCTGCCTGGGTGGCCATTGTATTGCCTCGTTGAATTAAAATAATTAAAATTGAGGAGAATGAAATTCATATTACATCAACCTTAAAAAATTGCCCCTCCTCCAGACGAACAGAAGTAATTGGAGAGTAAATCACTCGTCAAAATAAAATGTTACAAGTCATTTTGATCACCTTAAATGTTATTTGTTCACTAGTGTCTTGCTCAAGTTTGTGTAAATTTGCTTCCAAATGAGATCAATTTCCGATTTCAAAAAGGGGTTAAAAACGTTACGACTTTTTGGCCCAAATTTTGGACACTTGATGTCACTAAATGTAAAACCGAGAAAACTGGTCGTCAGATCGTCTGTGGTGCCCCAACGGTCGAACAACTATGCTAAGGGATAGATAAGATGATGATTTATATTACTTGTACTGTAAAGCAACGTGCACAAAGTGTAGACATCCTTTTTTATGCCATTTAGCCATGTATCTAGACTAAATGTTCATTTTCTATCAGTTTTACAATATGTATCTTTTTTCGCAATGTCAATCATCCCCTCCCCAGATCCCCCAGATATGACCGTGCGCGCTACTCCTAACCCCGTGAATGAGACCCAGTCCATCAGCCTGACCTGCACAGCAGACAGTAACCCTAACGTTACCTCCATAACGTGGATGTTTGTGGACACAGGAGAAACTCTTCTACAGCAGACAACAGGAAACTTCCTCACCTACAACAGCAGTTCTATAAGTCATGAACATGCAGGTGTCTACAGGTGTACAGCTGACAACGGTGTAACGGGGTCACCTGTAAGCAAGGACATCACCATTAATGTCAATTGTAAGTCATCGTTATTAAAATAATACTAAGCTTTATATGTATGTTTTAGCTTAGATTCCAATGATTGAGTCGGAGTAATATAGTATAAGCAATTTATTGTAAGTTACCCCTGTGTACAGTTTTGACACTATTTTGACATTATTTCGTTAATTCATATTCTATGTTTTATAACTTTATATCTTAAAATTGCATCATCAAAGTTTTGTTTTCTGTAATGCTCCAATTTCTTCTTCAGTTAGCCCGATCTTCAACCACGCCAGAGACAAGTACGTTATAGGAAGGTCCCGGTCCGTCACACTTGAGTGTTCTGTTTTGGCCTACCCGCAACAGGTAGACTTTACTTGGAGGAAGGGTGAATATGACATCACAGGTAATACCACCAGCCAGAGCGGAGTCAGCACACTGTACATAGCAAGTGTTCAGGTTGAACAGTACGGAAACTACACTTGTACCGCCAGCAATGAGTATGGACAACGGACAACAGTTATTCAACTGGTGCCTAAAAGTAAGTGCAATGTGGTTTTTCAGACAGCTCAATTATTTTCTCACTTTTGATTGAATCATTGATATGAATTTTCAATAGTTGCTTTGGGTTTATATTGTTGGTTTTAATTGCTCGCTAAATTTTTAATGTTTGTCTTCTTTTTTTTCTAGACATACAGGTCCTGTATGGAACCCTCGCCATCACAAGTGTTGAGTACACCGAAGGGGTCTGTGAAGGGGAGCTTGCTAACAGGATAGTAACTCAGGTATGGAACCGCTGTTCTGTTGCTGTTTAAAGGAGTACTAAAGGCCAGAGATAGTCAGAACCGTAATGCCTGGCTAACAGTCAACCTTGGAACTGGTTCAGCGCACTTTAAAGTGATAATGAAATGTTGTTGACTGATACATCTGGCGTTCTCTCTATCTAGCTGGACTCAATGTTTGACAGCTACGAAGGCTATGAAGGATCAGTGGTTACAGGGTGCAGGTGAGGGCAAATTCGTATATGCATCGTATAATATATTTCATAATAGTTAGATCTGAGTTGCTACCTGCTTAATTAACATAAGACGGGTTGATGTTCAGTTTGACCCTATTTACCAAAAATCATATCAGACCATGATGTTTAAGGTGGGAAATAACCATGCTTGAGGACTTTTCGGGTCTTCTAGAAATACAGTTGTAGTTAAAAAGTGTCTTACTGCGGGTAATTCATAAAAATTTTTATTACGCAACGATGAAGTCATTAAGAGGTATGGGGCCCGGCCATGCTCATTTTTAGAAAAATTGAATTTCTAGGACAGCACTTCACTAAAAGTCGTAATATTTCCTTGAAATATACATAATCGTGGTAGTAAAAACTTCAATTTTGGATTTTATATTTTTAAATGACGTTTTTTATGTTTTTTTTTAATTTGTTAATGTTGAGTGTACCCCATGCGACAGCACTCATGCACATACTGAATAGCTTATGTTTCATGCTAGACCTGGTAGCGTCCTTGCTGATTTTGAGGCTACTTTCGCCGAGTCTGAGGCGGCTGCAGTCCAGACTATGTACATAGAGAGCCTATCAGATGGACAGCTGGGGGAGTTCACTGTTGATCCCGAGAGCAGCATCATGAGTGACATCAAACCTCCGGGTAAGTTTGCTGATACTTGTCATAACTAGAATTCGGAGACCTCGATGTGATGTGACCTTCGTACCAAGGGGAGGCTCATTCGCCCCCCCCCCCACAGAACTCGCAAGCGGTATATTGTATGACCACCAATTTTTTAGAGAATGGTCTACTTGTACAAATAAACAATTATGACCTGTTTATACCTAATGTATTCCTCAAGAATTAAAAAACATAATGATATTCAGAGATCACACATACATCACTAAAAAAATTGAAAACTGCTAGACTGGTTGCTTGATTACTTCATTGTATTCTATGCATTACAAATTTGAAATTTGATATCTTTATCATCATAGGGTAGTTAAGATCATTGTTGTTCTGTTGTTGATTTTTTTTAGCCGGTGGTGGAGATTCAACCCTAATGATCATCATCATAGCTGCGGCGGCCGGTGGCGTGGTACTGATAGCTGGGATTATTGCAGTCATATTTCTCGTCAGAAGACATACTACCAGTGGTGAGTGTAATCTAATCACAGTTCGAATGATCACAGTTCGAGGTCTCATCAAGACCTATACCCACCTACAAAATATAAACTTAAGACAATCCATCTTAGCCTTCTTTAGTTATCGTGTTCACACACACACGCACGCACACACACACGCACACACACACACACACACACACACAGTCACAGATACAAACACAAACACACGAAAGTCAACAAAAACATAACCTTCTTGGCGAAGGTAATAAACAGAGCAGTAGTTTGTTAGGCTAGACCATCCAAATGTTACCTTTCTAGTCGTTTCTTTAAATTTTGGGTAGGATGTGTGGCGCATATCCCCATAATTGTGAACTTTATCCGATGTTGTTCAATCATTCTTACTTACACATAATACCTTGTAAAAGTGTAATTCATTGCCTGTATCTTCTGAACATGTCAATTTTGTTAGCCTGGTGTCAAAACTGATCTAAGCTGCCAAGTCTCGTTTGTCCTCTTCACATTTGGCAACTGATTTGTACAATATTAACTTGATTCTGTATTATTTCAGATAATCCAGCAGTCAACCCTCCCAACAGCATGGAATTGAGCCACGTGGTAAGCGATTCCTCATATGCTTGTATATATAGAGAGAGTAAAAAAAAAGAATGGACCAGTTTAAAGGAATTTTGTATGTGTACCAAATCATTTACCGTTCATCAAAGGTGAATACCTTTTCCTGTTCAGTCAGGTGAATCGAATGACGGATATCAGAGTCTGAGGATACCTCACAGACCTCAGGTACGTCTTAGTCTTATCCGTGATGCTCATGGCTTATAGAGGATATATACCAAAATGCTCCCTTACTTCCCCACCATTACCTACCACGAAAAAACAATTTTACTACTAAAATCAAAGAACCCACATATTATAGGAGAAGTGGGTAAATTCGTCTTCCATTGCCTAAAAAGAAGAAAAAATCAAACCCAGTAAAACTATAGCTTGTTATAGAATATAGTATAATGTTACGGACGTAGATATAGTCTCACATACCACTGTATTTTCTTTCTTATGTTGTTTGTAACTGCAATTAGCCCTCGGGCATGTATTTGCAATAAACTATCAATATAATTCTCAACTGTAGTTTGGATGACATCTCCTTTATTTGAACAGCTTGTGAAGCTTTCAGATATAACACGCACAACGATATAGACTGCTACATTTAGGGTACACCCAACTTTAAGTGCCAATGTTTGTTTAAAGTTAAAACTTTTGGTCCAACACAAAAAATTCTCTCACCTAGAGCTTTCGACCAGTCACTCTGGTCTTCCTCAGTAGACCCAGTGAGGCTTGTCATGTGGCTTCTTTGAAGTGTGACGTCAACACTGGGTCAAGCGTATCTGATAGACAATGTCGCGGTTCAATGTAGGGTGATGGGTCGACATCGTCTACCAGATACCTTTGACCCAGTGTTGACGTCACACTTCAAAGAAGCCACGTGACAAGCTTCACTGGATCAGTCTACTGAGGAAGACCAGAGTGACTGATCGAAAGCTCTAGGTGAAAGAATTTTTTGTGTTGGACCAAAAGTTTTAACTGAAAACATGTGACTACCAACACAGATGAACTTTCATTATAGTATAAGTGCCAATGTTGTTTATGTGGCTTTGCCTATTTCTCCAGTCTAATGGCGACACGTATCAAGGATTAACGGCACCCAGTGTACAAGAGGTAATTCTTCATATCTTCTTCCTTTTCTTTTCAACTTGATAATCTTAATTATAATATTATTGCGATTCAGTACACACATTATGCACTGATAATATGTTTCACTTTTGATACAGATACTATACCTGAACCAACATAATTCCCAACTATTCCTTAGATTTAAACAACTTGCAGGTACTATAATATTAGTAGTAGTAGTCTGGTTTACTTTCCACAAAGGGAATAAAAGCATGTTGACAGCCCGAGGGCTAAACTGCACAGCTTTTACAAAATGTGTAAAAAAAATTTACAAACTGATTGTGCTACATTGGTTGAAATGCTCGTTATATTAAGGATTGATTAAAATACACACTTTGTAAATTGGTCAATAATTCTTATAAAAATCACATATGATACGTCGAAAGACATAGAGTGATAGCTATATATAGACTGCTATATTTAGGGTACACCCAACTTAAAGTGCAAATGTAAATATTACTTGTAACATAGTTTAAAGCTTTTTCTATTTCTCCAGTCTGATCACACCTATCAACGACCCGATGTATTAACGACACCAAGTGAAAATGAGGTAATTCTTCATATCCTTTATCGTTTTTATCATGATTTTGATATTATTGTGATGCACACCGTACCTTGATAATATGTCTGGCTTTTGCAGTTACCACCGGTACCTGAACCTGAACCAACATATGAAGTTGTGAAAATTCCATCGGAGTTCCCCCGAAACCAACTTGCCATCAAAGAGGAAATTGGGCAGGGGGAGTTTGGAAAGGTCCACAGAGCTGAAGCCTGGAACATTTTGGACCAGCGGGGCACGACCGTAGTGGCCGTGAAGACAATGAAAGGTAAGGCGCTCTAATTTTTTCAACAAAATATTTTGAAGAGGGTTTCGTTTACGGTAAGTTCACTGTGTATTCAATTCGTGGTGCATTTCAATACATTCCCTGATCATATTCTATTGGCATTCCTATTGGCATTTATTATTTGATGTATTTTATTAATAATAATAAATAATAATTTATTGTACATCTATGCCCTATCGGACTAAGTACAGGTGAACAGATGAAAGGGTAATATACATGTTTGTAGTACAAACAGCTCTAAAACTACACTAATACAAAGGTTCAGCTTCTTCTCGTTTCTTAGTGATGTCAAAAATATAATTTGAAATGTGTTTGTTTAATACAGGATGATCAAAGCGCATAAGAAAGATGAATTTTCCAATATTAGTCAATATAGTTAATATTGACACGCTGGCTATCTAATGAATTGAGAATACATTTTCAGAAAATGACGGTTAGGACATTTACTTTCGGCTATGATTGTTTCTTTTAGCTGTGACCAGCCACGCTGCACTGTCTGCTTTCTTCAAGGAACTGTCGATACTGGAGGTACTCGGAACTCATCCGAACGTCGTATCTTACCTGGGTTGCTGCACAGATAAAGGTTTGTGCAAAACGCACTTTTAAAAGCTTTAGGCATCAATGGAGAATTATACTGCACAATGCAGAGAGTAATTTCTTTAGTGAAAATATAATGATACATCACGCCAAAAAGCAGTTACTCAAGCAACTGGATATGATTTTGGAGTTACTTGAGTAACTGCTTTTTGGAGAATCGTATTACATGTACCTGGATGTCTAACTTTCATCGACGTAATGATACATTTAATACACGTATTCTAGATCTGTACGTGTAACTTTCTTATTTCTAGGACGCTGCATAAATCCCCTTTCACACATTCACGAATTGGGCCTCAGGCCGTCCCGAAAACTAGGCTACGCTCCCAACCATGGTTAAGGAGTGGGGTGGGGGTGGGGGTTCTACCATAGTTGGCTGGTCACCGTAATAGGCCATAACATCAACAATTCGGGAGTAAGCCAGCTGTGTTCAGGGCGTATTCGGTTGTTGAATCTGTCTCAAATTTAACGGCTATCGCAGTCGCTAACCGTGGCCGAATTCACCAGACGCCAGCCAACCAAGCGACCAACTCCTAATCACGGTTGGTGGGCGTTCGGCTAGCACTCGGGAGGCCGAATTCGTGCATGTATGACAGTGGCTGAAGTCATATAATCTGTGTCTAGACCCGTTCTACCTGCTCCTTGAGTACGTGTCCGGAGGAGATCTCCTGTCCACTCTCCACACCAGCCGGACCAACCCGACATACAGGAACTTAGAGGGCGGAAGTAAGCCCCTCTCGTCACGAGACCTCACCAAGTTCGCCTGGGACGTGGCCAAGGGGATGAGCTTCTTATCGTCTAAGAATGTGCGTAAATCCACAGTTCTAAGGTTCTCATACACATAGAAATAGTGATGAGCGTCGGTAGACTGATATGCCAGGCCTTCGTTTCTTGTTGTTGTATTTGTTGGTTGTTTGGTTAGTACTTTAGTTCATTTGCTGAATTTCTAATAGATATATTGTTGTGTTGTTACACTCACTGGAACATTGTTAACCTTAACTAAATTGGTAAGTACTGTTTTCTTGTCACCAGTGTTTCTTTTGACGCACGTAGAAAACACCAGAAGGTGTGGGTGGGGGAGCTGATATAAAGATAAAAGAGACAAATGCAATTATCTTTTCCTTCAGATCCTCCATCGTGACTTGGCGACCCGTAACGTACTTGTTTCATCAGACCGGATCTGTAAGGTGTCCGACTTCGGTCTTTCAAGGGAGGGAGAGGAGTACGAGACGACCTCAGATGTAAAGTTCTTTCTGTGTAATGCTCTTCTTTATAGCTACTTTCCTTTCATTTTTATTTGATGTGTATCTCTTCGTATCCTGCTGGGGATGTTTTTAATGGAATTAATTGCCTACAACCACCACAGGCCCGTCTGCCCATCCGCTGGATGGCCCCCGAATCGCTGTTCCACCGAAAGTACACCACAAAGACTGACGTCTGGGCGTTCGGAGTGCTGCTCTGGGAGATCGCCACTCTGGGTTGGCTAGCAGTTAACCTAATAAATAGACTCTTACCTTGCCCTAATTAACTAAACCAATACCGTTGTGAGGCTCATACAAACTAATTAACAGCATGAACAAAACTCTATGTGCCCATTGTATTTATTTTTTTCACGGTGTTGCTCAGTGCAAAGCCAATTATTGACCACTTGGCCAATACATGCACAGAACTAAGGAACAGTTCATATACCGTGAATGTTTGTTTTCAAAGCGCGAGGATTGGATTCAAGGGGGAAACGTGTGTGTGGGAGGTACTAGTAGTTCCATAATTTTGCAGTTCGCGGGTAAAGAAACTGTTGAAGGACTTTGAAACAGGAATTTGAACGGTGTAAAGATGTGTCAACTGGAGGAGAACCTAGCCGTAAGCAAAAAAGATGTTCAGTGGTGGGACGTTTAGTGAGTGTTATTCTGATCAATGTCAGTAAACGTATACGAAAAAGAGGGACAGGAAGACAACGTTTCGTCTGTGTGTGAGAGAGTACATTTAATTCAATAGAAAAGAGTTACTGGTGATGCTATATAATGTCAATTGTACTTTGCAACACTAGGGAAGGAAGGCCAAAAGAGAAGGGATGACATCTGACATGCTTATGTTTTCCGCTTAGGTGCCACCCCATACCCCAACATGTCCATGCGCGAAGTTATGGACGGAGTGCAGCAGGGATACAGGATGGGCAAACCGCTACACTGCGATGAGGAACTGTGAGTCGAACTGTTTTTGATTCTGCTTTTGAACATGAAGTCTTTGTAACAAACGTTCTTTCTGTGTGGGAACCACTGTAAGAAACAGGAGGAGCCAGTAAAAACCCTTCTGGTCCCGGGCCGGGATTCGAACCCACGACCTCCCGGGCACCAGAGCTTCATAACCAGACGCTCTAACCGCTCCGCTAAAAGGTCTAGACCCCTTCGGCCGAATCAGTTGGTAGCGCCGATAACCCCCCCCCCACTGTTGCACTACTCCCCCTTTTCTTTAAACCCCCCACTGTTACATCTTCGTCAAGGCCCAAGGGTAACATCATTTGGCGAAGGTATGAGATCGTGGAACTTTAGTTGATACCTTACCTTATCTTAGATCCTTCCGCAACTTTGTTCCATAAGTCGACTTGGCAGAAAACTTTTTCCGAAGGTTACGGTTTTGTGCTGCTACTGACATTTCCTCAACTCAACTTAAATCCAAGTCTCTTCAATTTAACCCATTGTTTTGAATTGTTCGTCGGAGAGTAATTCTTTGCCGTCTTCTCGGACTTCTCGCCTTCTGGCTTCCAGGTCAAAAAGGAATTTTTGTTGCTAAATATTACGCATGGATATTTTTTAGCTACTCCCTGATGTCGAAATGCTGGAATGCTGATCCCGCCCAAAGACCAGAGTTCCGGAATATCCAACGGACTCTGGATACACTAATGGAGACCGAACATGTAAGTGGTTGCAAACTTTTTGTTCTTACGTAATTACTTGAATGTCTATATGAAGCGCTTACGATACTATGGCTTTGTAGCAGGTAGTAAACTACAATAAGTGCAATTTGTTTTAATTGCAATCTTTATTTGCAACACGAATATTAGAAATGATCCTATGAAAAGCAGAGGATCTGAATAAATGTAAGTAAGAAAGAGAATAATTTTCTTGTCAATAACAGAAAAGTTTGCAGTGTGAAAGTCAGTTGAATTTTTTTCAGTCATCAGCCAATGTTATGATTTAGGTAGACAGCGATGGTAATTGTTTCATTTTTCGTGTTTCTATTCTGATGCCAATGTGTGATCTTCATCCCGACACAGGACTACATTAACTTGGTGAATCTGGATGAGAACATCTACACAAGCCTGCAAACCACCAAGGACGAGAAATACTGAATGGAACGACCATGGCTTTTCTAATATTGTTTCTAATAGTCTAGTTGTTTGTTCGCTTGCTTGTGCATTGCGAGTTTTGGTATTACTAGAACTACTCCAGGCTTTTTAAGAATATTAATGATTTTCTTTCCGTACTAAATGCTGGCACTGTCAGGCTGTATTGTCATATAGCCAAGCTAGAGCGGCGGTTACTTTTCCGGGGGGGGGGGTTGCTGTATTAGTTGGTGAACTGCCTCGAAGGACAGCAAAAGATGCTATTTTTTTAATCCAATTCATCATTGTGAATTTAAATAAATGGTTTATTGGTCGAACATTACCCGTGCAATCGCAGCCTCTTTTATAGCGCTGAATTGATGCAGGGTTTACAATCACATAACACACATGATACATATAACACATTTTCTTCACACACTTTTGTGGAACTGTCGCAAGGGTCTGTGCGGCTGCCATTCGGCGCCACCAGGTGACCTCAATATGACCATCCTCAACCGAAGTTAGGTACCCATTCACACCTGGGTGGAGTGAGGAAAGTCGTGTCAAGTGCCTTTCCCAAGGGAACAACTTCGGGGCGCATGTCCAGACATGTCCCGGGTACGACTCGGGATCGAACCCGGGTCTCGCCGTTTCATAGTCGAACGCTCTACCACTACGCCACCCACGCCACATTTCTCTGATTAGATGTGCCACCCGACCAATACGCTCCCAGATAACATTTTAGCCCATGGGTACTTCCCCTCAGCCAATGGGAGCTGTTTATTTACTGTGGTTATATCCACATAATGTGAGACTATAAAATATCTGTGTAGCTATTTCATGCAAATAAACGGGGAAATGTGAGGGGAGACTGGAAATCCCCTCAGTGGACAGGACTGGAGATATACACAGAAACCTCGCCCCGCCCATGGGGTAACTCGCGTAAGGGAAACAAGAAACCACATCAGGCATGCCAGGGAACCACTAGTCAGGAGGTCAAGGGCACTAGTCAGCGGAAGGCCAACACCTGTGACGGCAGTCGTGTTACCAAATGTAGACATGATTAATGACCTCCTGATCTGTGAAAAATGCAGCACAACCATATCCATTGCAAGCTGACCTAACGGTCAATATTCTTAACATTGAGGAAATTAGAGCAAGCTGGCTACGATTAAAGGCGAATTAAAATGAAATGCATTTTATTAGTCAGTGTTTTCATTGCGAGATCTCACACCGTCTCACCCCGGCAAAGTCCCTCGGTGGCAAAACCGTCCCTCGGCGGCATAACTCTCGTCGCTCCCCGAAAAACATTACTAGTAACGCCGCCGCATCAGAAGTCTGCGGAGGTAGCCTCTACCAGGCTTGTGGCGGCGGTTGCAAAGAGTAGAAATCGCCCAAATAGAGAAATAAACATGCCAAGGGAGTTTGTCCCTTGAGTGAACATTTGCGGCAAAATGTTCTCTCAACGACTAATGCACTTGTTATTCCAAACAGTTGCCACAATTTCCCATTCTTTAACTTTTAACACTTGAGAAGATTAGCGAAAGACGTTAACGTTCCTACTAAGATCACGAAGCCCACTCATTATGCTGAACGTGGGACTATCCATTATCCACTGCCTTCAAAGAAGAAGTCAAACCTGATACTGACGCTTCGGCCATAGACATTTTAGAACACTTCGGCCACATGCGGTGGACGTTTCGGCCACATGCCGAGGACACTTCGGCCACGTTATTTATTGACAATACTAAGTTATCAAATAAATGCACGGTGTACTATGTGATATGATGTATGAACACATACCGATTCGTACCCCTCCCTGATCATCATCCTTGCCCCCACTCGTAGCCCTCCGTGATCATTATCCTTGCCCCCACTCGTAGCCCTCCGTGATCATCATCCTTGCCCCCACTCGTAGCCCTGCTTGATCATCATCCTTGTCCCCACCCGTAGCCCTCCCTGATCATCATCCTTGCCCCCACTCGTAGCCCTCCCTGATCATCATCCTTGCCCCCACTCGTAGCCCTCCCTGATCATCATCCTTGCCCCCCACTCGTAGCCCTCCCTGATCATCATCCTTGCCCCCACTCGTAGCCCTCCCTGATCATCATCCTTGTCCCCACTCGTAGCCCTCCCTGATCATCATCCTTGCCCCCACTCGTAGCCCTTCGCGATCCTTGCCCCCACTCGAAGCCCTTCGCGATCCTTGCCCCCACCTCGTAGCCCTCCGTGATCATCATCCATGCCCCCACCTCGTAGCCCTTCGCGATCCTTGCCCCCACTCGTAGCCCTCCCTGATCATCATCCTTGCCCCCACTCGTAGCCCTCCCTGATCATCATCCTTGCCCCCACTCGTAGCCCTCCCTGATC